CACAGCCACGCAGAAGTGATTTATGTATAGGGTCTAGGACGGGAAGAGGACTTGGAAAACTTTACTTATTTGTGTGAGTGAATCACAGGTTATTATGTTTTCATGTTATATTTATACAATAACTTTTTTCCTAAAAATAAGATGAACACATTTTCTAATATGTGGAAGTAAGATGTGAATGCTTTTGTGAGTGCAGATTTCGAGGGGCATGTGAAAATACCATCGTTAAGATTAGGGACGTCTACCAAAACTTCCTACTGCCTCTTGCAGCTTTAGTGATTCATGCAAAAAGATGTCTTAGAAAAATAAAGTGTAGAAAGTGGCGAATTTGGTTACAGGATGTACAAGGCACAGAGGGAGGGGAGTGGGGACATTAGACAAACATGGTAAATGCCACCCTTCAACACAGTCCACCTTCCTTGTTGGGTAACATTTTTAAAAGGTGTTAGTTTTATCATTTTAAGTACATGGAAAGGGAGTGTTTGGCTCAGGTTCAAGAATTTACAGATTGCATCATATTACTGGATGGTTAAAATCACTGCTGCTAAGTCTTACTAAGTTTTCACATACAAAAATTGCTGCTAAAGCTAGCATGTCTTTTGTTATTTATGGAGTATGCTTTTTCCTTAAGTAGCAATGAAAGGAAATATTTATATATATCTCAAGATATCTCCCCCCCCCAAGTACTCGCTAATTCTTAGCAGAAGAAGGGGTAAGATACCACCATAATCTAGGCGTCAAAGTTAACCTCACTAGTGAGCAGAGAGAGATCGTGTCTCATAACTGACAGGGCGCAATGAGGAGAACACAGCATCACTCCCGTGATATTTTTACCAACTTACTGATATTAAGAATCATTAAAAATAACTACTCTGCAATCTTTAAAAGCATTCATGGCATGAAAGTCAAGTAAGGAGTGAGGAATTGTTCTGTATCAAAGGGGGCCAAAGTCACAAGACAAGTAAACGCAAGGCACATTCTGAACCAGGGGCTTTTTGCTACAACGAACATTGTCAAGGAAACCGGTGAAACTTCAGTGCACTTAAAGATTAGATGATATTAATATATGAATGCCATTTTCCTCATTTTGTCGGTTGTCTTGTGATTGTGAAGGAGAAGGTCCTTCTTTGTAGGTAATACGGACCGATGTGTCCAGGGGAACAGGGCATTGGTTTGGCAACTAACTCATCAATTACTCAGGAAAACAAAGACTCCTTCTTGGCATGTTTGTAAATTTCTGGTAGCTGAGATTGTTTCAAAATAAAAGTGACATTCAAACAGAGTCAGATGGACTGTGCTGAAGGGCGGCGTTTACCATGTCCGTCTAACCTCCCGGCTCCCTCCCTCTGAGCCTTGTGCGTCCTGTGACCAGACTGGCCACTTCCTCCATTGTATTTCTCCAGGACACCTTTTGGCATCAGCAAAGCTTCGAGAGGCAGTAGGAAGTTTTGGCCGACATCCCTAATCTTAATGATGGTATTTTCACATGCCCCTCAAAATCCGCACTCAATTTAGGGTTCATCTTCCTTCCACATGTTATTATAGAAAACGTATTTTGAATGCATTTCACCACTAGAGGTCAGCAGTGCACCATCTCAAAGAGAACACAAATGCACTCAAGTCAGTAGTGGTTCCTATCGGTGCCCTTAAATGGCATTTATGGTGTATTTTAGTTTATTCCGAATATCTGGACAGTTGTCAGACATATGTGATGATGAGGGGACATCATCTGTCACTCCAGGTGATGTTCCATGTGTGCCTAATGTTCTCTTCAGGGTGAAGAGCCGTGACTTGAGCCACAAGAAAAATTACTTCTCATTGGCATGTGATGAGGGGCTGCAGGATAATCTGATAGGAAGTGGTGTGAGTTCTGGGGTGAAGAGACAGTGTGGAAATCCAGTGTGACCCCCTAAAGTAACTGAGGCACGTCTGCTTTTTATGGGATAGAAAGAGTAAGGCACCCGAGAAGAACATTCCTTCATCCATTCAACCAATATTTGTGGGCACCCCTGTATTTGGCAATGAGGCTGAATTCATGAAGATCAACTAACCGGTGGTGCCCCAAGGAGCTGAAGGAATCAGGGATAGGAGGTCTCTGTTCAAGCAGGATTAGTGCTCACAGACCACGGTGCAGGGCAACTCTCTGTCGTCGGGTCTTCCTATTTCATCCTCCCCCCAGACATGAGACTGTAGACGGTCACCTGCAGCAGCGCAGGGCCAGGGGCATTTAAAGGTTACGACACTTCTCTGAGGTGATGGTAACAGGAGACCGTGCACCTTTTAAGTCAAATCCAGAACCACAGCCACAGAGACACAAGAAAATGTTCAAACCGAATAGGATTGTGGCCAATGATGCTTGTTAGAAATTAAAAAAACTACATTTTATTTTACCATAAAACTCTCGGAGGAGAGGAGCAAAACTCTGACTAAAACTAATGTCCTGTGACGTACGGACCCACGGGGAGCTGTTTGGGGGAAACTTGGATGGAGGAGAAGGAGGGACTCCGGAATGCCCCCGAAGGCCATCACTGACTTCTCCCCAAACGAACTCCACATGATGTTTTCTTGTAATTTGCTTCATGTAGCACATAAAGAAGATCTATTTCGATCTCTGGAGAAGTGAAAAGTTCTGGGCTCTTTCCATAGCTTCAGCAGCTGTTTCTTCCACAGCTTTCGTGGGGCTAGAACTGACTGAATTAGTTGTCATCGGTCCTTAGACCAGATGAACAGGCCGCTCCCAGCCGGACCCAGGCCAAGCCCCGGTCCCGAGGAGGGAGCGAGGCCTTCTCTGCATCACTAGAGAGTTAGGAAGGGAGCCGCCCCTGTGCTTCCAGCTGGGGGGCCCTCGGTCTGCTTCTGCGGGGATGCATGTTGCTAACTGTCCAAAGGCTTGTCCTTCTTTCCGATGATCACAAAGTTTGGTGAGGTGTTGAAAAAGAAAGGGGAGAGCTATAACTAGGACTTGATTTATGTTAAATTGTTGTTGCGCCACCGACTTCTGATGCTCTCCCATCCCCAGCTGGGGTGGTTCTCTTTTTTTTCTGCCTCGTAGGCATTGCACTGACACTGTGAGAAATCGGTGGTGTTTCCCTTCAGATAATTGTACAAGGGCAGAGGAAGAAAAATAGGCATTTCTTACAAAACTGGAGGTTATTCAGGTTGGAGGCTTTGGGGAGAGGCGGTCTGCCCTGGGCCCCAAGTGTCACTGGCTGTTTTTACTGGTTTGCCAAGGGCACGCGGCCCTGCCTGGCCTTTACCTGGGCAGTTTCTCAGGGTGTGTTTGCACAGAGCAGCTCCAAAGGATGAGGTGGTAATGCCTCCGCAATGCCCTGCCGCCCTCCCACTGAAGACTGAACTTGCTCTCGCTTGCTGTAAAAGCAATGGGTTCCCTGCACTCAGCGCTGTTCCTCTCCTGTCCCATAACCCACTGCACATGCAGGCATCTGCCTGGGGCAGCTGGCTCTCCACTGAGGGACTTGGGGGCAAGGGCAACAGAAGCAAACCCGCATAAAGCTCACTGGTGAGCGGGGAGTAAGAAACCTAGGATGCTGGGCAGGCATCTCATATCTACCCTCCTCCAGCATCCGTGCAATCCTAGTAGGCTAACTTGTTAGCTAGTAAGTAGTGCAAAATCTCACATCCTGACACAGCCTGACAGAGAAACTCCCAAGTTAATTATGTTTAGTGCAAGTGGTTACCAGGGAAACAGAAAACTATGAGAATTATGTTTGTGTATTGAAGCTATGAGGACTTGCTGTGTGCTAGCAACTCCTGTGCAATTTCTTACAGAACATTAGTTATCACCGTACCTCTGATTCCTAAGCCCTTCGGAAAATCTCTGTCTTATTAAAACAGAACCCCTATTGATTAGTCTGGACATGAAAGCAGAACAACTAAGTTTTAGAACAACTTAGTGGGACAGGCACCGAGCTGAAATGATCAATCGTGGTGCATTCGTATCTAGAGAAGCACAGAAACCCACAGCCCGTGAGTCACTCAGGAGGGCTGGCAGAACCTGTGGCGGGCACGTTGCTAAGGACACCATGGTTAAAAAACAAGCAAAGCATCAAAGGTTCGTGCTTAAACATGGGAACCACTGACCATAACTCATTAGTATCGTCATTTGATGGTTTCCTCAGTGTCGCTTTACACACTATTAGAGAAGCGGAACTACCTCTAGTCCAACCCCTCCTTTGAGGAGATGGGGTCTATAGCAAAGCAACTCATCCCCTGCAGGCTTGTGGCCAGTTTTAAATATCCAGATACTCTGCACTATGTAGCTATAAAGAGACACTAAAATATACTCTCTAACTGGCAAACACGTGAAGACTTCAGTGAACAAATGCAGACTGAGCCCGAGCTGGAAGCCAGGTTTCATCCTTTTCAAACCAGTGCCTGCTGCACTTTTGACAGATCCGAATTTCCCAAACCAGCCATTTGCATACCGGCGCTGAAGTTTTTGGCACATTAAATTAACCACTTCATTAACATCGTTTTGAACTTGGCTTTGTTCTAGGCAACAGCATCTGCAAATTGAGAGTTGGCTGCACTCATATTTCTTGATTACAGTAAGACACGTGACCATTGTGACTACCCTTCAAAGCTTCCCTTTCACAATCAGGGGTACACCCTTTGGGAAACACTGATGAGACAGGGCTTCATGCAGAGAGAAATAAGCACAAAGACTGCATAATCATTCCTAGTTATTTTCATTTTTGTCACAAAGTTCAAAGCTTGATTTCAGGGAGACCCTAATGTCCTTCTGAATTCCCATTTGAGAAGCTCTAAAAGTACACTGGTAATCTCTTTTTATCTATTGAACAAGAATAAGAATGAGAAAGACTCTGATCAAATTAGCCACCTATTGATTATTACCAGGCAATCACAATCTTGAAAAAAAGCATACACAAATAACCTAATTCGCCAGATAACACTATGCCATAAGATGAAGTCTAGTTGGGAAATCAAGTTTCGGCAAGAAGATTATATGCTTTACTCACCAAGTTCGGGGCAGCATTCATTCCCCGGTGAATTCGATAACCTTTCAAGGGAAAAAAATGAAAGGAAAATATGAGTTCTTAATTTAGAAATGAGATGAAGTACATCTTGCAAATTAATGAGCTTAAAGTATCAGGGAACACACCTGGTTACACTAGAAAGTTATCAAAATGCCTCCATTTCACATATTTCACTTTAAAATACCCACAGTGTGTTTAGAAGCCTCTAATTGTTTAAGACGAGCTGGAAGTTTTTGTGTGTGTGGTGAGAGTGAGTCAGCCTGGAAGATCAGCATGATCCGGACGTTCTCAATTTCATTATTTATCATTTCTTCCTCGTGCAATTTGCTGCTTTGGAACAACAGTTTTTGGTTTGGAGTTTCCCATTCTCTATAAAAAATATTTTAATTTTCTGCTCTTATTTAGATGGTGTATGATATTACACCACATAAATACAAGCAGATTCCAGATAACATAAATGTTCATCACAATCCAATATTTCCATGTAATTTCAGTGGTTTCTTTTAGTGCTTGTATGTCTTCTTTAGTCAAAAGAACAAAACTTTGTTGCCTATTTTTAAACCAGTTTTTATTGAAAAATATAATGCAAATATGGAATGCTGTATAAAATAAATACATCGTTTAGTAAATGTTCACTTCATGATGAGTTTGCCAAAATTTCAACTCCCTTTTATATTCACTTGAGTGTACTGATTTTTGTGTTTTTTGGAGTAACATTTTTGTTATTTCAAGAATAGATCTTAATTATCAGCAACAGTATTTTATCTAATTTGCAGTGGTTTTTGAATGTTATGCTTCTCCCTAACTTTATCATTATCTTTTCTATGTTATCTTTTTTAGATAGTTTGTCTTAGGCTTCCTTTAAAGTTTAAATTATCTGGCAAGACTTAGGTTTGGCTTTGGGATTTTTAAAAAGGTGAATGCTCTAAAATAACCACATTCTCCTTTATAGCAATAATTTCCTTGCATCCTTTAAATGTTTTTGTTTTTCATCCAAGGTGCAGCCAACATAAACCATAGGATCATTGTTTTTTTTTTTTTTAATATGTATTTAAAAAGTACCTCTTTACCTATAGGTTTTTTTCCATTCTTTTCCCCCTGGTGTAAATTATTTCCTTTTTGTTAAAGAAAAGGGTTTTGGTTTGTTGTTGTTTTTGTCTTGTTGCTGTTTTGTTTCATAGCCAGATTTTGCCAATTTGATCCAGGAGGTAGATTTACCCCATGTCTCTGCCCTCTGTGTTTTGTGCTGAATTTCTACTTTAGGAGCTTGGTCAACCCAGGTTGCAATTTTCTTTGGTCTTTCTTTTCTTCTTCCTTCTTCCTCTCCTTCTCCTTTTTCTCTTCTTCTCCCCTTTCTCCTCCTCCTTGTTCTCCACTGTTTCATAGATGGCGGTGCAGTCTTCTTCCAGCAGAAAGTAAACGCTCTCTGGGGTTCTCTTTGTCATGTTAGTGATGTTGGTGCTCAGCGTCTAGCTCAGTGTTTCTCCAACATCTTCTTCATTAGGCCCGATCCCCAGAGCCTTTTAGACATCGTTTTCTTAGTCAGCGCCCTTCCTCTCAAATACAGTTTGAGAAAACTGTATTTTCTCTAACTTGGAGAACCACAGTCCCTTCAAGTACACTGGAGAGGGCAAAAGTAGGTTTACAGTTATTTGTATGGAAAAAGACATGCAGTTTATGTTTATAACCATAGCTTTATTAATGCAAAAGAATAAAACTTGTTTTGCGTGCTCACAACTCTAAACCTACTTTTGCCAGCCCCTGTACTTCAGCACCCTGATTCTTTTTCTTTCTGGTCTCTTGATGACAGAAATGCTAGATTTTTGTTGTTGTTGTCGTCTCTCATTCCTGAGGTTTTGGGGGTGTTTTTCCTCAATGACTTTTCTCTCTGTTGCTCAGATTGATTGATTTCTACTGAAGCCTCTTCAAATTCGCTTTTCCTTCTTTCATTCCCATCCTGCCATCAGGTCTTTGCAGATGGTTTTTAATTTGAATTATTTTATTTTTCAGACATAAAATTCCCACTTGGTTCTTCTTTATAGCTTCTATTATGTTGCTTATACTTTCAATTGTAACTTCTGTTTCAGGATTTTTTTTGTGTGTGTGATCACTTGTTCAAGTATTTTTAATAGCTGCTTAAAATCTTTTCCAGATAATTTCGACATTTGGGCCATCTTAGTGTTGGTGTCTGTTGATTGTTATTTTCACATAAATTGAGATTTCCATGGTTCTTCATAAGCTGAGTCACCATGGATCGGAGCCTGGATATTTTGACTCTGACACTGTAAGCCCCTGGGCCTTGTTTCAGTCCCATGAAGCATGTTTCTGTTGTAGTGGAAACTTGAGTTGGTTAGGTTGAGGCTGCAAGTTCCAACCCGCCTTCTTTGGTTGGTGGTTTCATTTCAATTTGGAAAGTCTTTGCAGTGTTTTATTTTTACTTAATATTAAGAATCCTAATAACAATTCAATAAAGTAGGTATTACAACACTCATTTTACAGATAAGACAGACAGGTTTGAGTTCAGCCGATTACTAGCCCTATGATATTGGACAAAACAGTCTTTGAACCTTGATCTCCTCACCTCTAAAGTGGAGTTGATGATACCTATATCATCGGATTGTCTGTGGACCAAGTAAAATAACGTGTGATAAGCAGAGCATATTTTAAACCCTAACGAAATCCTAGACAGTCTTCTTCTCATTGAAAAACATCAGTCTTACCAACTGAATGGGAGCCGATATTGGCAAACAACAGCTCTGGCCAGGGGCTAAAATCCAAAATATATAAAGAATTCATACAACTCAACACCAAAAAATCCAATTAAAAATGGGCAAAGCATCTCAACAGACACCTCTCCCAAGATGACCTACAAATGGCCCACAGATATGTGAAAAGATGTTAAACTTCACTAGCTATTAAGGACATGCAAGTAAAAACTACAATGGGATACCACCTCACCCCTATTAGAATGGCTATTACCAAAAACCCCCCCCCCCCCCCCAAAAAAAAAAAAAAAAAACACCCCCCCTTCCTCCTCTTTTTTTTTGTAATAGAAAATTTTTTTTAAAAAAAAATATTAAAAAAAAAACAAGACGTGGAGACAACCAAAGTGTCCTTCCATAGAGGACTGGATAAAGTAGACGTGGTCCACATTCTTAGCCTTCATTCAAGTCCTTTACTAAATGGTGTAGAGACTGTGCTAGTCTATAGATTATCCTTTCATTTTCTCAATGGTTTTTTTCAAAGAGCAGAAATTTTTAATTTTTATAAAGTTTACTGAGTCATTCATTTCTGTTATAGTTATTGTTTGTTGGGAAACCTTTGCTAAATTTTGCCAACACTAAGGGGACAAAGATTTTCTTCTCTGTCTTCTTCTAGAAAATTTATAGTTTTAGCTTTTATGTTCAATCTATGATCCATTTTGAATGAAGATTTTGGTGTAAGCTATAAGATTTGTATATGCTATCAGGCTGAGGTTCATTGTTCCCCCATTTCATTATCCAGTTGTCCCAACACCATTTGTTGAAAAAAAAAATCTATCCTTTCTCATGGAATTACCTAGTATCATAGTGAAAATCAATCATATGTGTGGGTTCATCCCTAGATTCTATTGTTTCATTTATCAGTGTGTCTATCTTTATACCAAATACTCCACTTATTTTATTGTGATTGCTTTATAATAAGACTTGAAATAAGGTACTACAAGTGTTCTAAGTTGTGTGGTTTCTTTTACAAAATTGTTTTGGCTATTTCAGACGTTGTTTTTCATACAATTTTTGGAATCATTTTTAGACCATATTCACTGAGAGGAGTGCGACTCCTGGGGCCAGAACTGCGCGACTGCCCAGGCTGCTCGTCTTCGAGCAACTGCTGTGTTGCATTGTGTCCTGACAATTTAAGGGTTTGTGCATCTGTGTTCAATTTTCTCCCTTTCAATTTTTGTATTAGGTAATGCTGTTCATATAAAATGAGTTGAAAAGTGTTTTTTCCTATTTCATTTTCTGGAAGAGTCTGGGTTTAAGAACTGATTTAATTTCTCAAAATATTGGGAAGAATTTACCAGTGAATTCATTGGGATCTGGAGTATTCTTTGTGGGAAGGTTACCCTAGTAATGACATAGATACAGAGCTATTCATACCATCTATTCTTGTGGGGGTAAACTTCTGTATTTTTTTCTTTCAAAGGATTTGTCCATCTAATTTGTAAATCTAAATTATCAAATTCATCTAAGTTATCAAATTTATTGCCTTAAAGTTGTTCATAACATCCCCTTATTTGCCTTTTAATGTCTGTGGGGTCTATAGTGATGTCACTTTTTCACTCTTGCTATCTGCAATTTTTGGTGTTTCCTCTCATTTAAAAAAAAAGTCTACTCAGAGCTTTTCATTGTATTGTTCCTTTAAAAAAACCATTTTTTTTTTGTTTCATTGATTTTTTAAATAGTTTTTTAATGATTGGTTTTTGCTCTGTTGAGGTATAGCCTATTTGAAATCACTGAAAGCTTCCCAGGTGATTCTAATGTACGGCCATGACTGGGACTTGGGTTCTGTCTCCCTACCGATAGTTTGCACACCGTACCTACTTACAAACTGCAATGGCACGAGGAACTCGCCAACCACAGTTCTCCTTACACACAGTCAGCTCTATCTGGTTTTGCTTCCATGCCATTTCATAGCACTATCAGGATTTTGTAACTTCTGAACGAACTGACCTTTTTATCTTGTTTTAATATGAATTTCCATGATTGTTCATAAAGGTGTAAACATGAACAGAAACTTTCAGGCCATTCAGTTTAAACTTCTTTCAGTTGCCTATTTCTGTTATTGAGTAATTTTTTTTTATCTGAAATTGTCAGAATTCTTAATATTCTCAGAGCTTTATTATAGTGTCCCAGCCTGTGGTTTGTTTTTAACTTGATTAAAAATGTCTTCTCTTCGGGTTTTAAAACTTTTAACTCTTCTGTTTGTAAAATCATCAAAATTTAAAATATTTTCCTTAATGAATGGCGCTGTTTTGGCTAGTTTAGCAATTTTTTGCCTATGATGTTGTCATAAACACATCTGTTTTTTAAAAGTTTAGTTTTGTTTTTCACCTTTTATGTTTAGTTCATTTGGAATTTAGTTTTATTTGTGTGTGAGATGTGGATCTAATTTCATATTTTTATGTGAATAGCCAATTTAACCAAACCAGCAAAAAATTTTCCTTTCCAAAGCCAAGTTAACATGACCTGGTGGGATAGCGCAATGGTTAGCGTCACACCCCCCAGGATGCATTTTCCATCCTGGGACAGGGCACATACAAGAGTCAACCAATGAAGGCACAAATAAGTGGAATAACAAATAGATGTTTCTCTTTCTCTCACCCCCTTCCTCTCTCTCTCATTAAAAAAAAAATAAGTACAGACTTCCGCCAAGATGGAGGCATAGGTGGAGATGCCTTGCTTTCTCACACACCCAAGTTTAGAGTCAACTAAATAATAGCAACAGAAAACACAGCCAGAACACAGAAAATTGAACTTTTCGAAAGTCTGATAACAACAAATTCTTCAGCCTGACCGGTAACAGGGGTGAAACAAGCAGCTGGTGGAGCAGGGTTGCACAGGAAAGCTCGGTCGGACGGACTCAGGCACGTGGAACCCAGGTGCAGGGTTGCAAGGGGCGGACCTGGTGAGTGACCCAGCGAGCGACTGCGGGGAACCAGCGAGGGAACAAGGCCGAGATTTGACTGTGGTCGCGCATTCATGCGCAGATGGACCAGCAAGGGAGTGGGCGGTGAGACAGGACTGAGCAGGTCCCAGCGGCCAGTGGCAGCAGAGGGCTCCGCCACTTCCCTGCTCTGACCCCGCCTCCACATACAGCGTCATAACCCAGCGACTCTGAGTGGCCCCGCCCTGGTGCACCACCTGAGGCTCTGCTCCTCACCTAGCGGTGCAAAACAGCAGAGGGGGTCACCATTTCCCCGCTCTGACCACGCTCCCACATACAGCATCACAAACCAGTGACCTGGGAGTCCAAGGCTCCGCTCCTCATACTTAACGGGCATGAACAGACCAAAAATGGCTCAAGAAGAGCTCAAAGCCCCAGAGCCTATAAATCTAAGCGATGAAGAAGTAGCAAAACTCGCAGATGCACAGTTTAAAACACTGGTGATCAGGATGCTCACAGATCTGGTTGATTATAGCCACAAATTAGAGAAACATATGAAGGTGAAACTAATTGAAATGAATGGAATTGCACAGGAAACCAATAGCGATCAAAAGGAGACTGGGACTCAAATCAATGGAGTGGACTAGAAGAAAGCAAATAATGGCCAAACAGAAAAGAGTCAAGAAGCAAGAATTCAAAGAAATGAGGAGAGTCTTAGGAACCTCCAGGACATCTTTAAATGCTCCAACATCCGAATTATAGGGGTACCAGAAGGGGGGAAAGGAACAGCCACCAGTGGAAAACTTATTTGAACAAATAATAAAGGAGAATTTCCTCAATCTTGCAAAGGAAATAGACTGCCAGGAAATCCAGGAAGCTCAGAGAGTCCCAAAGAAGTTGGACCCAAGAAGGAACACACCAAGGCACATCATCATTACATTAGCCAAGATTAAAATGAAGGAGAGAATCCTAGAAGCAGCAAGAGATAAGGGGACAGTCACCTACAAAGGACTTCCCATCAGACTGTCAGCAGATTTCTCAAAAGAGACCTTACAGGCAAGAAGGGGCTAGAAGGAAGTATTCCAAGTCATGAAAACCAAAGACCTACAACAAAGATTGCTCTATCCAGCAAAGCTTTCATTTAGAATGGAAGGACAGATAAAGTGCTTCTCAGATAAGATCAAATTCAAGGAGTTCATCATCACCAAGCCCTTATTATATGAAATGTTAAAGGGACTTATCTAAGAAAAAGAAGTTAAAAAAACATGAACAGTGAAAGGACAGCAAACTCCCAGTTATTAACAACCACACCTAAAACAAAAGCAAACTAAAAGGACAGCTAGATCAGGAGTGGAAACATAGAAATGAAGATCACGTGGAGGGTTAGCAACAGGGGAGTGGGAAGAGGAGAAGGTACAGAAAATAAGTAGCGTAGATGGTAGATAGAAAATAGATGGGGGGGAAAGAATAGTATGGGAAATACAGAATCTAAAGAACTTGAGACACATGGTCATAAACTAAAGGGGGGGTAATAGTGGGGACGGGGGGTAGGGTGGAGGGGAATGAAGGGGAGGAAGTAGAACAACTGTAATGGCATAATGAATAAAAATAAAATAAAATAAAATAAGTAAAAAATTTTAAAGCCAATTCACAAAGTTATTGTAGCATTTACACTCCCAACAGGAATGAATAGGTTTTTCCCACAACCTTACCGACACGTCTTCCTTATCAGACACTTTCATTGTACAACTTACAGGCACAGGCACTCTCTTCATTTTCTTTTTGCCTCTTCTTGTGTCAATACCACATTTTTAAAAGTTGCTTTTAAAATTACTACCACCTGGACCCAGTCATTGTACTCCTGGATGTGTACCCAAGAAGTGAAGGCAGGTTCTCAGACAGACATTTGCACACACCGTGTTCACAGCAGCAGTCACAACAGTTCAAAGGTGGAAGCAGCCCCAGTGTGTACTGACATGAATGGGCAAACAAAACACGTACACACAGTGGAATGTTAACCAGGCTTAAAAAGGAAGGGAATTCCGACACATGCTGCAGCATGGATGAAACTTGAGAATATAATGCTGAGTCACAAGAAAACTCTGATTCCACTTACATGAGGTACCTAAAATAGGCATATGGAGAGGGAGAGAGAGAGAGAGAGAGTAGTGGTCTCCAGGTGCTGGGGGAGAGCTAAATGGAGCGTTGTTGAATGGGTATGGAGTTTCAGTTTTGCAAAATAAAGAGAACTCTGGGGATTGGTTGAAGAACCATGTGAATACACTCAGTGCTACTGAAATGTACACTTCAATATACATTTTCAATATAACCCTTAACAGGATTAAGGCCATACATCAGCAAAGTGTACTAGAAGTAAAAAACCAACCAACAGACAGACATAAGTCTCACCCCTCCGACTCAGGAGAATGTTAACTACCTTGTACTCAACAAATATTGAAAACAAAGAGGGTCCACTTTATCTAAAGGGCTAGCTACCGTATTTTGCTGTGTATAACGTGCATCCACATTTTGGCCCAAACTTTCAGGAAAAAATCTTTTGTTTTAATTTTTTAATTCAGATATTTATTAATTTATATTTAAAAAGAAAAATATCATGTTCCAGGATATTATTTTGCATATGGGTATCTTTATTGCTTTCTAAAGAAACATTTTAACATAGGCATAATAAAAGAATTAAAAACATTTACACAGATACGGAATTAGTATTACCCGTGTATAATGTGCATCCTTATTTTTCCCCTCACAAATTTGGACAAAAAGTGTGCATTATAGACAGCAAAATATGGTATTTATGAACAGTATCCAGCCAGATAACATTACAGCCCAAAGCCTGGCACAAAGCATTTGATACTATGTGTACGACCTTGAGCAAGACATTCGCTCCTAAGCTTAGGTTTCTTTCTGTGGGTGGTTCTGAGTTTCAACATGGAATATGGTGAGAGAAAGTGCTGTATGCCAAAGTACTATTAAGGTATTTTCTCAACTCTGTAATATAAGTAAATGGTCAGGGCACTACGTATTTGGAGAGAAACAACCAACTAGAGGTACACTTAGGAGGTTTCCGACTTGGGAAATAAAAAAAATATTAAAAAGTCTGCTGTTAGAGTTGAGGAACCACGGAATTGCATTGGCTTCATCTGTTATATCCACAAATGCCCCTTTCTTACATTTCAATGATTTCTCATTTGCCCAGCGTTTCTTGTTACCAACCTCCTTCCTGACAGCTGTCAGAATGTTCCATGTTGGATTTCTGAGCCCAATTTTCAGGCTCCCGCTGAGACAGAACAGACGCTACGCTAGAACGGGCTTTCTCACCCTTAACTTCTCTTCTGTGCTGTTATTGGCTGTTGTTCTTCCAGGACCCGCCCACAACTACCTCAATCCTGATTGGATGCCAATGTCCTTTTGTTATGGCAAAGAGGTGGATCCCTGAGCTTGGAGAGAGGACGATTGGGTCGCTGGGCAGCTAATGCGCACGCGTACCTTCTTGAGTGGGCATTGGCGGGACGTGGAGGGACTCCGGGCTCTGCGCACGCTCTGTGGGCGGAAAGGGTGGAGCTGCCGATGTCAATTGCTCCAAGAGTCCGGGCTTGAGGCATCCTCCAGATACCTGCCCCTCCCGGCTCCTCAAACGGCAGGTGAGGGCAGCCTTGGGCAGCAGAGGGCCTGGCCCCAGGTCACTGGAGTTGCGGCCTCTGTACTGCGGAAGGCTCAAGGGTCGGGGCCCGCTGGATGCAGCCCGGAGCCCCGGGGGTCCAGGAGGAGCGGCCTCGGGCCTGGGCGTCGAGGAGACGGCTGAGTCCTGGGCAGAACCCATGCGCAGCCTCTTTTTTTTTAATCTTCTCTTTACTAGGCCCAGAGCTTCGTTGGGGGTGGGGGTGGGGTGCTGTTCGGGACTTGGATGTCCTGCCGCTCCTCCCCGCCTCTCCCAAGTTGAAGACCGCTGTCCAGCACGCCGGCTCTGAAATGCGACTGCGGGAAGGGCGGTTGGGTGCGAGGGGACCTGGCCCCTCTGGTCTTGGCTGTGGTTGCTCTGCCAAGCCCAGGAGGTGGGGGAGAAGAGGCCGAGGCCAGGATGGGGGGCGGGGGCAAGTGAGAGGTACAGTGAGGGCTGGCCACATCTTTTTAGGCGCTGAAAGCAGCTCCCGGGTTGGTTTCTTCGTTTTCTTTGAAGGGTCCTGCTGAACAAGTTTTGGGGAGTTATTATTGGAACCGAGAAAGGGGATACATTCCGGAAGGGCAGGGCTTTTGTTGCGCCAAGTATCCATTCTGATACTATGACGTAACAATGTTAAGAACATGCTAGGCTGTGGTCCCCACACTGTATCCGTACCTGAGGATCCACAGTTATCTCTGTGTGTTTAGGGCGTGACCTCATGAAGCTCAATAGAGAGCCGTTTTCTGGGGATCTGGCTCCGCATTCGGATCCCCGTTTGGCCAAACATTCCCGCAATTTGTGGATTTATATAATCAGAACAAGTTAGAATTTGAGCGGATCGGAACGAACAACCATGCTGACAGTTGATGCAGCTTGAAGGGAATGAAATTTCTTTTCAGTTGCTTAGTGGAAATACCAAAGGAGTTTGATATCAAGAGTTGCAAAATGGCGAAATTAGATCAGGGCTAAAGTTTCTTCCATTGCATAATGAAGAAAGGGAGTTTATAGACAGACTTAGACCTAGGTTCGAATTGATATAGATGTTGGCTCTGAAATTAAAGCAAAATACATAGATAGACTTTCTGAGACAGTAAATCTCACACATTCTTGCCAAATGTAAATTGCAGTGTTCTGTTGGTTTGATGAGTAATATATGTGAGGCATTTGGTACATGGATGCACAATGACAGTTTTTTCGTAACTACTAGCATTTATCATTATCTTTTAAAAATAATTTTATGTGATATTTAATTATGTATGTTTTGATAACCAAAAAACTCAGTGTCTTCTCTCATTTACTTCTCTGTATCACCATTTGTCGGTATCCTTTGCTTACCCATTGGGTGTTTATTCTTAGAAACAGTAAAGCATATGAGAGGGTCCTTACTGGGTCACAGTTTTCTTTTGAAAAGCTTATATTTCTGTGTTTGTCTTTTTCTTATTGCAGACCAGTCATCAAGGATTTTGTACCCAAGGCCCCGAAGTTTGTTACCCAAGATGATGAATGCTGACATGGATGGTACGTTCTGGTTTTGTGGAGGCTTTTGCTTTATTGAGCAGTGGAAAGAAGAGAATAATATTAGAGATTTGGTTTTGGCTAATTTACTTATTTATATCCCGTCTAGTTCTGGAAAGGATTTAAGTGAGTTTTAGTTCCTTACTGTGAGATGCTGGGAAAACACTGTACTTGGTGTTCTTATCTGCAGTGTGGGGATAGAACTTTATACTTCACAGGCTCTTGTATAAGTCAACTTAGAGCATAAAACAGTTCACAGATCTATAAATGCTACACTACACAAATGGTACCTAATGTTAATAGTAAATCTGCACCTTTTTATTACAGCAGTTGATGCTGAAAATCAGGTGGAACTGGAGGAAAAAACACGACTTATTAATCAAGTGTTGGAACTCCAACACACACTTGAAGGTTAGCTTGCATTTTGTAGTTTTCTTGAATAACATCAATTAATTGACATTGTAAGCCTTTGTGATTCTACATTTTTTTAGTGTGCACGGTTTTAAAAATTATAAATTTCAAATCCATTTCAACATTCCCCCCCTCCCGCCTGTTGCTTTGGCTGGTGGTTTTAAGGAACAGATACTGTTCAATAAGAAAGTCAAACAGTGTTCTTAAGCTTCCATCTTTATGGCCTAACCTGATGCTGTTTAGTACATGAGAGCCCCTCCATTATTGTACTCCTAAGTCTGCTTGTACTAACAGCCCTGTGTTAGCCTCAGAGAATAAAAGCGAATTGATCTGAGTCTTTTCACTTTATAGACGTAGTGCATAAATTCATGCAAACATCTCTTGGTTTTTAATGAAAGTAAGAGGTTGTGGGGTTTTGGGGGTGGTTTCTTGATACCAGATTGAGCAGATCATGTCCCTCCAGTGGCGCCCTGGTTCACAGTTAATGTCACAGTTAATAAAAGCCACCCTGGAAGGCTGTTACTTCCCTTTTACCTTTCAGTGCCAGGTCACACACATGGCCTCACACATTCTACCTCAGACACTTTGCCCAGCTCCCCGCCCCCCACTGTGTTCTTTCAATAAGCTTCTACTGAGGGTTTTAGTTGCTGTTCCCTTCTGCTGGAATCTGTTCCCCCTAGTTATTTGCGTATCTGTAGGCTCATTCCCTAACTCTCTGTTGCTGGTCAAACCACCTTGTCAAAATAGCTGTCCCTGACCATTCCTATAAAAGGCCAACTTCTCTTTTCCTTCCTATGACCCTTACTCTCCTTGCTTTCTCCCGACCCCCACGTGGAGCCCCCCCAGTGCACACATGCCCACACGCCCGGTAGAACGCAAGCTCCGTGAGGGCAGGGGCCTTCTTTTCCAGTGCTGTTGCCTCTAGAGCAGTGCCTGGCTCCAGAGGGCACCCAGTACTCCGCTGTTACATGAATGAATGGAGAGGATGTTTTATTTATCAACAAGAACTGCATCTTTTGAATTCCTTGCTAATGTAAAACTATAAAATGTTCAATTGCTTGGAAGAAACTGACTTTCTATACCCAGTATATGAATTCAGTTGGATTCGGCTACCACATTTTCTTAAACATTTCTAATGAAGATGTTACAGTTTTACATTGGTAAGATGTGAACTCAAATTCACATTAAAAAACAAAGTCCGTAATTTTTTAAATGACCATTTTAAGAATTTAGTCATCAACATAAATGCTATTTACAAAGAATGACATTTAGTCTACTGTGAAATCTCATTTCCAGAATTTTAGCTATTGATTTGCACTGTTTACCTTGTTTACCATAACTTCTTAAAGTGAATTGAATTTAAAAATCAAAAATTTAAGAATTTTCTCTCTTAAGAATAAATGTTAAGCATTTTACACTGGAATCACTGCCATCATTTTATTGATAATGGGCTTTTTTATTTTTAATATAGATCTCTCTGCGAGAGTAGATGCAGTTAAGGAAGAAAATCTGAAGCTAAAATCAGAAAACCAAGTTCTTGGACAATATATAGAAAACCTCATGTCAGCTTCTAGTGTTTTTCAAACAACTGACACAAAAAGCAAAAGAAAGTAAGGGACCGACAGCCCTTCTGTCTTACGAAATTGCTGCTGCTCTTTTTTTCTTTAAAACTTGGATAGATCCCAGAAGTTATAGTACTTTTGTTTGTGGCTTCATTGAATATTTATAAAGATAATGTCAGATATAGGCAAAATTAAGAGCATAAGAGAGGACTTCCATGAGTTTGTGTATTATGTTAGTTTATGAAAACGTGAAAATGTAGACTTTGTAATTAGAAATGCATATATTTATGATAAGGTTTTATGGAATTTGCTTTGCTCTGTAGGTTTAGCACCGTGTTTTATTATAGGCAGAGTAGGACATATAAGAAAATAACCACGTGTTGTGAAAAAGTGACCAAAATCATGTACTGAATGCACAGCTTTTTGTACCCTGTCTACCATCTTGTGCCTCTTCTGCATTTGCTTCTTCCTTCCCATTTCCCTTCCCCTGGAGGAAAAAGTTGGTTTCACATTTGTAAAAGTAATTTTAGTAGTTAATCATTTATGAGAGTAACCTGCACCCTACTGTTAAAACTCAAACAAAAGGCAGGGCTTACTGTTCGTTATTCGGCCATGGGCCCACACAATGGCCTTTCAGTCAGTGACAGACTGAGGACTTGACCGGCAGTGCACTTACTGTGTGGCCTGGCGTGGGAGGTGGCCACACCTCCCAGCTCGGTCTAAGTGCGCTCTGTGACGTCTGCTCATGATGACTTTCTCAAGGATGCTTTTCTCAGACTGCATCCCGTCATTTAGCAGTGCGTGACTGTGTTTAGTGCTGGGGTTGAGACAGGACTGCTGGGTTCTCTTTTCTCACCTGAAAACAGAGGCTGTAAAAAAGATTTTTTTCCTCGAAGTTGAATTGTCAAATTGGGAAAATAGTTGAAAACTTCCCTTTTACACAAAATAATTTGGTATCTGAAAAGATGAGCTCTGCTTGTGCACATGTTTGAAACAGAGTATTTTGAGGAAAAACAGAAATAGGATGGAAAAAGTACTTGGTAAACAGCAGTAACCAACTCTGGATGTTTCTACTCCAGAACTGTGCTATCTCCGGCACGGATGGGTCCTTTAGGGGAAATGTGTACGAAAGTGGGTTAAGTTGGCCTGACCTGGTAATAAACCATGTCTAGAGCATTTGGTCTCTGGATATTTATAATATCCAGCAGATCAATTTTTGCAGAGTCCTTTGACTGTATTAGTATCAGAATCATGACTAAAATGGGAGAGTTTTTCATGTTATACTAGTTAATAATGTTCTCAGTCTCACTACTGCTCCCGGAGTTTTCTGTAAGCGCAACTACTTGGTTTACAGAGTCACATTCTTTAACAGTTTTTTAAAATTAGTTTGTAGATTCCATTTGCTAAGGAAACTAATATCAGAAGTAATGTTAAAATGTTAAATATTCAATAGGAGAGAGATTCGGTAACATAGCTTATAGTTACTAGGTTTGGGCTACTTTTAATCATGTAATAATATTTGTATTGATGTACAATTTGATGAATGACTTTAGCTGTATGAATATATAATCATACTGCAAAATATTTTGCATCCCTTTTGTGCCGTAATTTACAAATGTTAAAAACTGTGTTGCAGTTTTGCTTTGCTGTTTAATAAAAAGCTGTTTCAGAAATGGTCTTGTGTTTTGGTGTCACTGGGTGGCAGTGTGGGGTCTCTAGGGTTGTTCAAAGCCTGTTCTTCCTTAAGTTCCAGTTACTGGGTATTTAGGGGAATAATAATTTTACTAAGACAAGTGTCACAAGATTATTATACATTAATTTTTAAAACAAGGAATTCAAAGAAAGATCCAAGATTTCCAGGGGAAAAGTATTGTATTTTTTAGGTTAGGCTAATCTCCCTTAACAAGGTATGTGATAGATAAATAGTGTAAATAATATAAACATTTTTCTCCTAACTAATGGTTCTGAGGTAAGTGTTATAAGCTAGCAGAAACTTGAAGATGTTCTGGCATTTTAACCGTAATTTCCAAGTCACACTAATTATCACTGTTTTTTAAAAAATAATTTAAAATTTATTTTTAGAGAAGGAGAGAAACATCAGTACATGGTTGCCTCTGCAGTGCCCCCAGTCAGGGACCTGGCCCCCAACCCAGGTATTTGCCCTGACTGGGAATTGAACCAACAACCCACTGGTTTGCAGGCCAGCCCTCAATCCACTGAGGCATACCAGCCAGGGCTAATTATCACCATTCTAATTTGCAGGAAAAGTGCATGAGGTGTACATGCAAAGTTTTCAAAAAAGGCTCTAATTCCAATCATGTGTCTTTCTAGAGAAATAATCCGTGGAAGCCAGGCTGTCTTTAAAAAAAAATCAAGAAAAATGAAGCTAGTTTAGCCTGGCCAAGTTAAAAAAGTCTCCTAAAAGGCCAACTAAAATAAAAGCAAATTTTTTTTCTCCTTTGTTAGAGAAAAGGACAAAATGTAAGTCATTTTAAAGGCAGGTTAGGGTGGTAAAAGGAAAAAGCCATCTCATTACTAGGAAGACTACATCCGCTGCACGACTCAAGTACAGGAAGCAGCAGTGAGCTGGCAGAACCAGGTGCTCGGATGTTACCACTGCAAACTCTTGGAGTTTGACCAATGTTAACGTCAAAATGAATCGGCAACCAAGAAAGTAAAAAAAAGCTTTAGGGGAAAAATGTCCACATAGAGGATACCTGTCAGACAAGGTTTCCATAGTAAGAGATTTATCTCCCGATACAGTTTACTTCCAGAAACATTCTCACCTAGAATCATTCAGTATGACTAGTTCATGTGGACATTCCAAATACAAAGCAAGAAAGGGGATCCTTGCAAGATGTGTTGAATCAGTATTAAATAAATACAGTGTGTGGTTAACTATGTATTAAGATCACCACCACCAATTTATGAAAGTTCAGAATACAGCAATAAAATAAAAACTTCATTTTCAGTTCACTCTCTGAAGTAAGAATATGACTGGCTTCCTTTAGTAGAAGGAGAATCTAGAGACTCATTTTCCTTACAAATATGCTCTAAATGTACTAACTTCCCTGTATGGGAAATTAGTTGGTACGTACCCCAAAACGGGGTGTGTGTGTCCATGAAGAAATCCAACATGGTACCCAGTGAGTGTGACGTTCTCTGGATAGTGTGAGAGTGGTTCTCTGGTCTCAAAAAGATTTACCGCACCTTCCAAAGGACCTAACCTGTTACCCAAACATAAGAACTTAAAACATTTTAGGTGGATTAAACCAGCTCCATTTACCATCATGCTGTGACTTTTGTTAACTCCTGTAGTTTACAAAGAGGAGCAACAGATTACTGATAGTTGCTGGTGTCTACCTTTGAGGCAGCTTTGAAGCTAGACAAGAGAATTGACTTAAAGTAGATTTAAATTTGCCAGGAAAAAGACAAAAATACAAACCATGATATCTATTAGCCATTACAATTTCTTAATGATCAGAAAAATGATGTCGAGCCTCCCATAATAACTTACCTATTAAAAAGGAAATGAAGAAGAAAATATTTAAATTATATTCTCAAGAGTAACGTACATATCAACGATAAGTAGGGTAAAAGTTTCTGGCATAAAATAAAAGCTTGAAAACCTTGTTTTGATGAACCATTTTCCTTGTATTCAAATTAAAATATGCTGCATGGTTAACCAGGGATTCTGTGAATGACACTCAGACATTTCTGTTTTGTTAACTTGTCTGCCAACAAAACACCCCCTTTAGAGGAATTACAATTTCAGGGACCGTAACTGTAATTGGACACCAACTAGGTAAATGTGGTCACATACAGCACCTTGTTGATAGAACAACCACACAGAAACTTTATTGCACTTAGCTCTGTACGAGAGAACACACTTGTTTTTATTGTGGAACCACCAGTTATACTGCAGAATAGCCATTTAAGAGGAAATCTCAGTAACTGGTTTTTCCAATACCAGGGAAGCTGCTGCATATTATTTCCCTCTGTACAAACCAAAACTTTCTCTGAACTATTAAAACTGGTAACTTCTAATGATATTAATCTCATAAATCTCATATGTAACGTGCCACTTTTTTTTTTTTATTCTAAATTTGAAGACCAGGTAACTCCAAAGGTTTTTTTCCCCAGAAAAGACTGCAGGGATGTCTGAAAGAATAACAGACCAGACGTGGAAACAGGATGTGCGGGTGGATTCAGGCTCGGCTCTGGCACCTGCTCTGAGAAGTGCCAAGTCCCTGCAGCAGTGAGACACTGGAAGGCGGTCACTCCCTCCGCGCCCTCCGTCTGCGCACGGCCTTCACTGGCCCGTCTCCGGACCCGGTGCCCTCGTCTGCTTCCTTCATCTAGAAAAAAAGAATTAGGGAAACATTTATGTTCACAGAGTATGTAAATAGTAGTAAAAAATGTATTCCCTATTCTCTAAAATACACGTTCTAACAAATGCTGTGTCCTATATGTTCCTTTACTCTGTGCATTGACTTCATGTGCATATAAACTGATGCTTTACTGGTGTGATTACTTCTTTAGAAGTCTGCTTATCAAATATGTATCTGACAAGGAATACTGCTAACAACTCATAATTAATCTCAATGTCGTGATTAAAGTTTCTATGATATTTTCATTGTGGGATATTCAGCACTAACTAGTCATCACATTATTCCTTTAAGCAATGAGTTACTGAAGTGGTTTTACAGAGGCTTTTTCGGAGTTTCTGGCACACGGTAATTTGAGAGAACTTAGGAGACAGGGAGGGAAACATCACATTTATGGTTTGGGTTTTCCTTTCTCTTAATTCTTATTTGTCTAGAATAAGCATTTACACATAAATTAAACGTGCGTAACAGTATAAAATAATGAAGTTACATTATTACACAAAAGAGTTACAATCGTTTCTCAAGGTTACAGTATACAAAACTGGCCTGTTTTAGCTAACACAGGTATACAAGGAAACTAAAAGCCTGGAAGATGGAACTGAGACACTTTTAAAGGTACACAAAGTGTTCCGTGAGGCAAAATGTGACTAGAACACATATCCGAGTGAGTAACTGCAAGCATTATTACTTAGAGAACGACAGCTGAAATGACGACTGTTTAAGACTCTGTTCCGGAAGACACGACCTTCACCCAGCCCCCTCTGCGCATGGCCGTTCCTAGGACACAAAGCTCCCCCAAGCCCCTCTTCACCCTCACAAGGCAGTCGCGATCACTAACCAGGTACATGTTCTGAATGAGTTTAGAAAACAAACAATAACCAAAAAACCCACATTTACTTGGGAGATTTCTTCACATGGACAAAATAGAAAGTGTATTTCACCCTGTACAACAGGCCAGGCCAAGCACACCGTTAGCCTCACCAACCCGCGGTAATGAGAGTGTGGACCGCAGGAGTGCAGGAGCGGGACAGGTCCCACAGCTCTTCCAGGGGGCGGGGGGGAGGACAGGCTTTCCGTGGACGCTGAATCGAACAAGAAGGCTCTGGTTCTCGATGATACCCTGGATGTTTCTGATCCCACAATAACTGACTCAACAAGGGCATTGTGGGAAGTTCTATTACATTCCGGGACACACAAAGAGGTAAACTTATCAAGTTAGTGGGAAAACTAGTTTACTAAAGGTTTGTGAAAAAACACCATGTCAGGCATACAGTGCTCAACTAGTCCATACATTTCAGAATGTGAGATGTCAATGAGAATGTTTTTACAATGGCTGTTAAGAAAATTATTTGTAATAAACACAATTACCTTGTAAATATTCAAATAGTGTTTATATACCTTTCAACAGAATAATGAGTCATAATTTTTTATAGATGCAGCTCTCTATACCATTTCATTACTTTATACTGTTTATTAAGTGTGGAGGTTCTTATGGAAGCTGAGAGAGATATGGCAAAAAAAAAAGCCTTCACAAAGCAGATGGCTGCTTTTATTGAAATACGTTTTGGCCAGTGACCAGACGCAGAGAGTGGGCTATTTCCTGTTAAGAACTGCTCACCTCATCCTCTGACCCAGACTTATTGGATTTACTGTCGTCTTCTTTCCCTTCTACGATTTCGTTTTCATCTTCACTCTTTTCCTCAGGTTTGCCTTCTTCTTCTGGAACACAGACCACATAAAAGGTGAACCCTTGAGGAACTGAAGTTTCACTACTGTAAGTATCAAATACAGGAAGGGGGACTCATTTAAATTCCAATGTTTAAAAAAAATCTCTCCCATTAGAAATTTTTTTAAATTAATTATGAAGACTCATTATTTTATATTTTATAAATAAATCATATTTGAGGAAAGAAACAGGTTTAGAGAATTCTTGAGCATTCAGTCTGTATGTAACATGAAAACCAAAGAATCTGGAAGTGTGTTATGAGGTGTGTTCAGAAGGTGTCCAGCCATGTACTATGAAAAACAGAAACACTGAAGATACAAGAAACATGGTACATGGGACAGTGACGCCTCGGCCCCCTTCAAAGGAGGCATCTTAGGACCTTACACGGCTCTCCTAGTCGCTATCAGCTGCCCTGTCGTATTTTCCTGAGTCTCATCGACAGTCTGAAATCTCTTCCCTTTCAAAGGTGATTTTAGTTTTCGGAAAAGCCAGAAGTCACAAGGCACCAAATCTGGGCTGTTAGGGGTACTGAGTCATCTGGATGATTTGATGTTTTTCACCAAAAATCTCTATAGGAGACGTGATGTGTGAGCAGATGCACTGTGCTGATGAAGGTGACAGTTACCAGTTGCCCATAGGTGAGGCCTTCTGAATCATTCCAATAATTTCCACAGAGAAATGTTCACGTTTAATGTAAAATTTCATGCAGATTCATTGCTCTACTCGCTCAGTCATTTTGAATGTGACGGCCACATAGTGCACATGCTCAATGGTGTGTATCTACTGCCCTAACTGACTAGTACAACAAAGTCCTCATTGTTCACGCATGACCATTCCCGTCCACTCTCCTTGGCTGCCAGGTTACACTGATGTTGTACAAACCATTCTCTTGTTATATTAACAAGGGCTGGACTTTTTCCAGATAGACCTTGCATTTACGTACAAATACATATGTAAATAGACTTATGTATATGTGGTTTTTTATATTTTGGTTTTTAAATCAACTGTTTTATCAACTCAGCTTAAAAACAGTGCTCAATTTAAATTGTAAAGAGCTCAATCTGGATCTTAGATCTTGGCGTGGGACACCTGGCAGATGTTACCGGTTGCACATCTTCCTAGATGTGCCCGAGGAGGCCTCCATTCTTCATTTCTAACATCTTTAGTTTAGTACAGGAGGGAAGGGGACATAGAATCCCACAATGCTTTCAGGAGACCCAGCCACTCATTTGATAGGACACACTATCCGGTAAACAGCAGCCATTAGAAGACTTGGTATCGCTGCAGTCACCTGCCTTACGCCTACTTCCCATGTGCAGGGGCTGCTCATCGCATCTGCAGTCTTGGAGGCAAGAAAAGTCCTTGCAAAAACCCTTGGCATGGGGGATTCACAGCTGCTAGGCTCATGAGCAACTGAACAGTATTTAAGCATCTTTCTTCCTAGAAGACAGAAACTATGAACAGGGTGATGGCTGCTCAGGACACAACACCCTGGCAGGGAAGATTACTCCTCTTCGTGACAGTCGGCATCTGTGGGGATTCGGATGCTGTACCTTTGACAGCAAGCGCAAGAGCTAGTGTTCACCTGTAGGAGACCATTCTGCATGGCATGGGCCCAGCTCCCACTGGGAGATAGATGTACAGGACCCAGGCCCACGGATAGGTTCTCCCATGGGGAATCAGGCCTGCAATGTGCCTAGGCCACTTTGAGTCTTGCTTTTTGCTAAAAACTCCCTCACCCGGATTTGTGGCATTTACTACAAAGCAACTTCCTACAAACCATGCTGATCCTTCTAAGGACCAGTATAATCCACCCAACCACTTTTCCCTTTTCATTTGTAAATATCCCTCTTCTGTGATGTGATTAGCCACATCAGACTCCTTTGTTTTCTGTAAAAGGTAACCCCCTAAAGTGAACCTGTACATAGTAAATGAGGACCATTGTATAATGTGTGTGTGGGGGGGGGGCACGACCCAATAAAGGCCGGTCAAGGTTTTTGCCCTCCTTGAGAGAAAAGCCATGTTGTCCCTTTTCCTGCACTGGACTCAGTAGTCCGAGTGAATGTCTCATTTCACCAATAATGACTCGGACACTGTGGGCCAGTGTCTGCCTCATTTACCAGGTGATCTACTGTTTTATGAGCTCTGCCTAGGGTCTCCATTACAAATGACTATCGCCGTCTTACCTTTCTCAACGATTTCACCATCACTTGGCTTCCTGTCCTCTCCCAAGTCGGCCGGCTTCTCCAGGGCTGCTTTCTCCTCCGTCACTTCTTGCTCTAGGGCTCCCTTTGTTTGTGGTTTACAGACGTCGGGTTTTTTATGCGCTGCATCTTCGCATTTTTTCTGGGTAGTGTAACATAAGCTATCTTTACTAAAACCAAAGTACTGCTTGTTAAAAAGTTTTTTCAACAGCTGACATTACACACAATAAAAATTATGCAAAATTGAGTTTATTACTTTCAAGAACCACTTGCTATATTCAGAGAACTCTTAAACACTAAAAGGTTTTTTTTTGAGTTGCAGGAAGTTCATTTTATTTACCTTTACTTTCCTTGGCCAACAAAACAAAGTAACCAATGCCACCGGGAGCCCCACTGTCACAAGATAAAGGAGCCACAGCCACGGATGCTCCTCAGCAGCAGCCAACAGCTGTGCAAATATGCCGGGCTGTGGACAAAACACACATCGAAATGCAGCTCAGATTTCGCCGACCTTCACTAGGAAATACAGCCCTGCCCCCAAAACTCACTTATCTTGGCATTTTATATTAAGGAGTGTGAATTTGTTCAGCTACAACATACTTTCTTTTCCTACCTTATACTTTGTGAAGTTTGAACTTTTTAATTATTAGCATTGCTGTTGGAGACTCTGTAGGTGGAAACCACTAATCTGCCAGCAAGAATAACGACAATCTTTTTTGGTAAATTTCAGGATATGATTAGTCTTAAATTGCTTTCAAATTTTTATTTATTGATTTGAGAGAGAGGAAGGAAGAGAGAGAAGCATAGCTTTGTTGTTCCACTTATTTATGCATTCATTGATTGATTCTTGTATCTGCCCTAAGGATTGAACCCACAACCTTGGCATATTGGGAAAATGCTCTAACCAACTGAGCTACCCAGCCAGGACACAATTAGTCCTTACAGATATATGCAAGGTGGCACAAAAGCAGGTTAACCACTGTGAATATGCAAAACACAGAGTTTATTCTTGTATTATTATTAATTATTGCATTACTTTCCATAGGACAACTGTGAACCTACTTTGCCCCACCCTGTATTAGCTGGTTCGTTTAGAGGTATACAACTCTCTGATAACTCATTCTGCACTTTTACAGGATTATTAGTAAAATCGATTTGAGAATTATTGCTACTACTTCAGCCTGGAAATGACAAGGTGATAAAGACTTGTAGACAGAGACCACAAATACAAATATTAAGTAGTCTCATTTCTATAAACAGCAAATAATTCCATGGTAGCTATCATAATTTAAAGAATGAAATGAAGACTTACAGATACATACATAGTTCATTATACAGTTTATAATAAAGTTATAATACAGTAAAACTAAATATTCTGTTTATATAAATTTAAAGACATTCCTTTGATGCTTAGTAGTTATCACACCCTTATTTACCCTTTAAAAGGTAATTTGCATTACTAACCAGGACCAGGTCCTATTACTACTAGTGGTCAATACTGTACCTCGTTAGCAGTTGCTATCATTCTTTTCATGCCCCAACCGTCCGCAGCCCAGCGATCTGCTACTTCCTTTTCTGAACAGATAATAAAATTATCAAAGTAGATATCAGAAGTCATAGACCAAAGCTCTAAACCAAGAGCAGAGAAAGGAGTCAGAAGAAATGGATGATCATCTTCAAAATAATCTGGATTAGGAATTTTTCGAGGACTCCAGACTCCCTGGAAGACAAATAATTTGAAAACACTTTCAAATAAAATAATTCATTGTAAATGTTACTTAAGAAGTACAATAGTTGTTGACACCAGCTGTGGTAACTGGAGGAAAAGCTTTGATAGTAATTCATTAGTAAATCCCTGTAAATAAAATATTTTTCTTATTCTATACAATACATGATGTTCTTATAAATAATAGTGACCTCAAACTCTGTAAAAAAAAAAGGCAAAATTAAAATCCAATGCGCACAGAAACTTGAGTAATTAAGTTTCAAGGGGTAATATTTTAGACAGGTTTTTTATATTAGTAAAGTTATTTAAGGTAAGATATTATTAAAATTGACCAAATGGAGCCACTCCTTTTAACACAGGCCCACGATAGGCCTCCTTGATCAGCCAGGGCTGAACCTCAGAACAATTACCCAACACAGTTTCATTAGCCCTGAAATGATCAAATGCAAACAAATCGGATGCATTCCACAGTGCGGTCACTCACTGATCCGCTCTGCCATCAGACACACCTGCCCCGTGCCGGACACTACACCAGAGCCACAGACACAGCCACAGACACAGCGCCAGACACAGCGACGGACACAGCTCTTGTACTACGGAGTTTAATGTCTAATGAAGGAGACAGGCAATAAAGAAGAGAGTTACTCTTCTTTAAAATAAACATTCTGTGAGGAATGCTATGAAGAAAACCTAAAGCGAGGGATCAGAATATGGAACTGCATGTGTGTAATACATGTTAGAAAATGCCAATGAATAACTAGGTAAAAATGCGGGGTTAAGTGGATAATGTAGGCACTTCTACAAAAATCTAGGTGCACTCAAAAGATATCTGATTCATGTTAGAAAAGAATCCAAATTTCCATAACACCAGAAAGTGAGCAAAACAGGCAGTCAGTCCTCTTGATCAAAACTCACTTCTTATATTTAATTCTAAAATAGAACTTTATTCCACCATGACCATCAATGCTTAGGGAAAAGTACAGTATGCAGTGGCTGATCTCCAGTTCTTACATTTATTCTCCAGAAAAATTAAAGAATGCTTTACTCTACAAATATAAGTTGGTTGGAGTCTATCTTCTTTGAGTTTTCAAGATAGCCAAGGCACACTATCACGAATCACTTTTCTGAAGTGAACACCATGGATAACTGGACACACAGCAGAACAGAACAGCACAGCATTTCGGACTCCACAGTGGGGCTGGGACGGGTGCTCATTACCTGGTAGTTCGGGTTCTCGATCATCGGAGGCCTCCACACTCCCTTGTATTTCGGGTTCTCTATCATGGGAGGGTTCCACTCGCCACACCCCACCTCGCAGGCTGGGTTAGGAATACGAGGCGCCTCCCATTCTCCATCCATGTCTTCATTCCTTAGGGTGTCAGAGCAAAGCAAATGTGACGACCTCGACACTCTCCTCTGCCATACGTGCTGGCAACAAACAGCAAGTAAGGAACAAGGTATTGACCTCTGGAGATGAAGAATGCTTACCAGTCCTCAGGTTTTTCAGCACTAGGATCAGGGATAAACTTTGGTTCATCATCAAGCCAGCCGTCAGGTTTAACGACACTTAAATCTTCTATTTGGGCAGGTTCATTTTCATCCCTGTAAAGACAGCATGTTACATAAATTATTCAAATTACTCAAATGCACGTCACAAACGTCAGAAGGTACAAAAGGCGTTTCCCACGGCCCTGGCCCAGCCTCTCACCACCCCGCCCCTCTGCCAGCTGGCCCGTGTCTCTGGCTGCCACCCAGCAGTGCTCCAGGCATGTGAGCACAGGCATATCCTTTTTTCAAATACAAACAGCATTCTAAACAAAGTGTATCACGTGTCGTTTTCATCTCGCAGCCATTTACCAACAAATGCACGCTGGGTGTTGACTCTGTGTGGAGGCTGGTCTAGGGCCCGTCCCAGACACACGTGTCTCTGCTGCGGGTTCCCTGACAGCTGCATGGGCTTGTTTTGTGGGTACAGCGCCATCCACTCACCCTGCCTGTTCTTGAGAAACACTTACTGTTCCCCAAAGTCACTATTACAAATAATGCTTTACTGAATATCCTGGAATATATTAGAAGTTAGTAGGAAATTATCCCTCTACCAGCTATATGAATTTAAAATACCTTTCCAGTTTTTCATGTATTTTAAATTACAGTTCATGGAGGGTTTTTTTTTCCATTTTTTATTGTTATTCAAGTACAACTGTCTCCATTTTCACCTCATCATGCCCCCCCCGCCCACCCACCCCCACCTCCCACCCTTGCACCCACCCCCTTCGGCTTTGTGCATGTGTCCTTTATACATGTTCCTTGATGGCCCTTCCTCTATTTTCTCTCATTACCCTGGAGGGATTTTTTTGCCATATACACATCATTTATTTTAACATAGCAAAACTTTGTTAATATTTTCTTTTATAATTTTTCAACTTTATTTCTTATTTGGAAAGGTCTTCCCTACTCTAATATTTTTAACTCTGTATTTAATTTTAGTAATTTTATATTTTCATTTAAAAATAACTTACAAAATTCTAAAATATATAAAATAGCCATAGTATGTACTGAATAGAACCACTAATATAATGTTCATCTTTAAAAGTAGAAATTTTAGCCCTGGCTGGTGTAGCTCAGTAGATTGGGTATGGGCCTGTGAACCAAACAACTGCAGTTCAATTCCCAGTCAGGGCCCATGCCTGGGTTGCAGGCCAGTTCCCAGCAGGGGACACATGAGAGGCAACCACACACTGATGTTTTAAACAAGAGACTACATTATGATTTTCCAAATAAAACTTAACCAAATAAGCTGGAACCACTCTCTGTGTGTAAACACTTACACTTGCCTGATACCCATGTGGTCTTGAGTTTCTGAGGGCTCAGAGTAAGCGAGTTTAAAATTTAGGGGGGTTTCTTTTAGCGATTACACACACACACACCCTATATTTACCCACACACCACACATACACACACACTCTATATATACACACACGTCATACATACACACAGTATATACACACACCATAGATATATACACACCCTATACACACACTATATAATACACACACACCATATATGTACACATACATATATACATATATATATATAAATAAAATAACAACTTCTAATGTGTTATCATCAGTCGGAATGGGGTTTCTATAAGCAGTATCTCTCATGTAAGGGAAAGCTTATTTCCCAGCATTATACTTTATGGGCAAAAATATAAAGCAATGTTAGAAAACCCACAAGAGGGACAGGGTCCTACCTTTTCTGATAGTATAAATTTATAAAGTGATAAACTAATAAGTGACTCTTTTATTGTTTAAAAAACTGTACATGCCTCCTACCTTGAACAAGTTACTTCCCTATTACACTATTTGCCTGGACACAAAGGCATTTTCATTCTCTCCTTATGTCTAAGAGAGTTAATGAGTTAACACTTCTGGTTCCAGGAGCAACACTCTGTGCTCTGAAGAGGTAGTAATCTCAATGTTTTTGGACAAATAAGAACTTGAAGAAATGGGAATAAACACTCTCCAAAACGAAGCACAGAGAGAAAAATTAGTTTTCAAAAATGAGCCAATCCTTAGTGATCTTTGGGATAATATAAAGCCTTCTAGCATACACTAGGTGGTGCCCCAAAAAAAGAGATGGGGAGGATAAGATAAATATTTAAAGAAATAGCCCTGACTGGTGTGGCTCAATGGACTGAGTGCCAGCCTCCAAACCAAGGAGTCACCGGTTCAATTCCTAGTAGATGTGCTTGCCTGGGTTGCAGGCCAGGTCCCCCAGTAGGGGGCACTCTGGAGGCAGCCACACATTGATGTTTCTTTCCCTCTCTCCTTCCCCTAAAAATAAAATTCTTTAAAGATATGTATTCAAAGAAATAATGACCAAGTGTTACCTAAATTTGATTCAAACTATAAACCCATACTCCAAAAAAGCTGGACGATGTCAATACTCTGTGTCCTGACTGTAGTGGTGGCTACACCATCACATGTGTTCATCATTTTAGGGCTGTGTGGAAAACATAGGGATTTAACTGTATGAAATTACACTTCACACATCTGACAGAAGAAAATGTAATCGGAATCCAGCAAATATATGAGGGACAATACTTGCTGACCAAATGGATTATAAGGTCAGTCCAACATTGGAAAATGAATCAATATAATTTACCACACTAAGAAAATTAAGGAGGAAATGTATGGTCATATCAATAGATGCACAAAAAGCATTTTAGAAAATCCAACACTCAATCATGGAAAACAAACCTCTTAGTAAACCAAGAACTGAGTTGTAGAAACTCGTACTTGGTATTCACACCACTCCGTGAGGAGCTTCTACATCCCCAACTCTCAGGAACTAGATGAGTTCATATTTTTGTCTTCAGATGCTATTTTTAGGTAATTTGTTACACAGCAATAGGTAACTAATAAGTTGGGTAAGTACAAAAAGAGAGATAATATATTCAGCAAAACCAAAACAGTTACCCAATCGGCAGGAAAAAATACAAAGTTCTTAGGAATAAAGCTAAGACCGTCGTGGAGAAATTACAAGACATACTTAAAGACAAATAAAAGCTCCGTAAACAGACATATGGGTGTCTCTCACCACCAAAAATCAAGCTACGGGAGCTCAGGAACTGAGTACCTTTCTCTTAGGGAAAATACTCATTATCCTGAAGAATAAAAATGACACAAATACTCAGCTAGCAAAAAAAAATTACAGTTAAGCGAACTGGTATGAGTGAGTCCTGTATAGTTTTACAGGACGTTGGAGATCTGCCTATTTTGGGGCTAGTGAAAAAGACAACAGGCATGTAAAACATGCACACGCACAGTGAAGGTTAAACTAGCAATTAAAGTGTTGGTGGCTTAGGGTTGCGTACTTTCCCCCACAGCACTGAAAGCACAAAAATAAAAGTACATGGAGAAAAGGAACAAAATTAAAATATTAAGTTAAAATCAAAATTAAGATAATTAAAAAGCATGGAAGTGCAAGTTCCATCTTAGGACAGTATTTCACCCAAAATAATGAAAATAAGTGGTTCTGATGTTCACAACAATACGGTTCGTTAATAGTAAACTTTACTTACATGTTTTGCATCATCACTTAATTGTGCCAAATTGCACAGCACTACCGAACCCTCCCTTACCAGTCGTCTGGTTTGACGGCGGAGGGATCCGGGATCTTGGCTCTCTCGTCCCATTCCTCAGGCTTCTCGTCACTCAGGTCTTCGATCTCCGAGGGGGGGTTGACAGGAGGGACCACGTCCTCCAGCAGGCTCCCTCTGTTCACAACCGTCTGATCAACTAACATTTCAAACGTGTCATCTGGATTCATCACTAGAGACCAATTTAAACATATTATAGTTATACTGATAGACACTCCAAAAGTAATCTTCTAAATAATAAAACTATCCTAAACGTCACAGGTCAAATTTTCTCTCAACCAGAAATAGAGGAGGTACCAACATACTAAATCAAAATATGCTGAAATCACTAGGTTTAGTGCTTCCTAAAATCAAAAATAAAAATTTAATAATAATAATTTAATAAAATACTCTATTAATTCTCAAATAAAAACTACCGGATAGCTAGCTCAGTTTGGGACTCACACAACCCATCAGTTTCACCCTTTTTATAGTTACAGAAAACAACCCAATCTTCTTCAGTATTTTAAAGTAGCTTTTTGAAACAACCTCAAACCTTCAAAGTTGCACATATACTACAAAAAAATTTATTTTCTTCCTGAACCACCTAAGAGTAAGCTACTGACCTTGCAGACATGATTCTTGAATGTTTTAATGTGTATTAAACATGGTCATTCTCCTACAAGCTCAGAAATGAACATCAATGCATTACTATAATTTCCTAGAAACCCCTAAAGTTCATTGGCATTTCAAATTTAATGACTCACAGACTGCATAAAATATCTCAAGGATGACTGGAATTATTGGAGCTTATACTTATTAGTATGTTGAGGTTAATTCTAGCTCTCTAGAAAGTCCTCATGCCAAAAACTTCATAAAGAACTCCCTTATGCTTTGTAATGACAAGAGGGACGCTTTCTCCTCCTTCTGTCAACATGGAAGAGGGTCACTTCACAATCTGTATCTTTGAAAAGAATGACAGATGAAAATGGCTGCCTAACACTGGCTTTCCATAAGCTAAGGAAGTAGGAGCTGCCCACGACTGTCAGAACCGTCCTGACTCATGCAGGTACGTGGGCTCCCACGTCCTGAAGGGACAGTGCGGACGTCTCCCAGTCGCCAGAGGTTTCAGCCACAGCAGCACCAAATTACACCAAAAACCACATGCTGCAGTTCACACACAAGCTCAAACAGTGCGAACAACACTCAACATTTTCTCCTCTTTTTTCTCCAAATTTTCTCTTCCATTAACAGCTGAAATTACAACATGATGTTATTACAACAAAGGAGAAGGTCAAGCTAAGAGTAAGGCCGCACATGCAGAAGGGGACAAATTAGATCCTTCCTAAGTCAAAAAAGGGGTTTCTCAAAATCTTGAAAAGAATGTTTTCTGAACAAATTTTGCAACTGAAATGGATTTTTTAAAATTACAGGTAAAACAGAAAAGGACACAACGAATAGGCATATGTGAAAAAAAATCTTTGTCCAAAATCTCTGGACAAAAAAATTCCACATAGAAAACTACTAAATATTTTCAGTGAGTTTTCTATTAAAAGCATTGGATTATCAAGTCATTTAAGCTACTCTTTTAGGTTCTTAGAACAATTACAAAAAAAATACTATAAAAGTATAACTGTATTACAGAGGTTTTTTTAAAAGAAAAAGTCACTCAATCTTAGTACAACAAAGTTTTCATGTTTAGTAAGAGAAGCAAATGTTTAAGAGTCAGACTTAGTCAGCTACTCTTGCCTCCTAGAACAAGTGCAGGCCAAACAGAAATTGCCCACCTCGAGTAATGGCTCTAAACAAAGCATCCAGCACAGAGCACGGCGTGTAGGAGATAGTTAATGACAATGAGCTTTTTTCCCCTAGTCTTCTATGCACTGGCATACTTTGCCTAGTGGCCCTCACGATTTGCCTCCAATGTGAATCTTGTTTTCTTTCCCCATTTTAATATTATACGTATTTCTTTCCTGGTGCTAAACATTTCACAGTTAACATTTTGTATTGCTATAGAAAACTCCTACTGGAACACTTGGGTTGCTTCTAATTTATAGTATTATATTTTCACACAGAGGTCATTTGGATAAATTCCTGAAAGTGGAATTGTGGTTTCAAAGGACATAAACCTCTCATGGCCTTTAATACATCTACCGAGTTGCTTCTGACCAGGTTTGTACAATAAAGTCTGATTAAATTCATTTGTCCTATTCTAGTTATACCCTCATATAATTTCTACAATTTACATTTCCCAAAATATCCAGCACTATTTTCCAGTTTTATATACAGTCTTTGATGTCAATGCTGACATTGAAAATGAAACTGGTCATGGCCTTGGCAGACCAAATGAGTATTTCTGCACCTGCAGCCCTTGGGAAGAAAGCTGCAACCCTACGTAATCCTGGGCAGACCACAGCTCTACAACAACATGGACGTGGGCAGAGGAGGAACGACCCCGCATAATGCTCTGCCCCTCCACGTCTATGCAAACTCTTATTTACATCAAGTAAAGCTAAGTAGGTTAACACATGGTAGCTCAATGCTTTGCTTTTCAAAGTTCAAATACAGCCACAGCCACCACGAGGCAGGACCTAAGGTTCATAAGTGCCTGTGGGACCGAGTCCAAGCTTTTCAGCGTGGCCTTACAGACTTCTTCCTCTTCCACCTTATTTCCCGTTGTCTACTCTTCCACTAATGTCACAGTGTCCCAAATACCTTTTCACCTCCTGTCTTCCACATTCTATCTATACTTCAAAACCAGTTCAATTACAGTCTGCTTCACCTGGTTTTTTCAGGGCCACCAAACTGGAAGTGACATTGAATTCCTGGCTGTACCTCACCTGTACCTCTCAAATGGTAATTTTACTTTCTACCTACACTAGAACTATGCCTCTCTTATTTTCCTAAAAAGATAAACTCCTTAAGGGTAGAATCCATGTTTGTTTGTCCCAAAGCCCTTGCCATGAACAGAGCAGTGGTCAGCGAATATTGCTCAATGAATGAATGAATGAATGAATGAATGAATGAATGAATGAAAAGGATATACCGAGAGTGTACAGATGAGTCTTCCGGTCTGTAAAGAACTTTTTAAGGTCTACTTCTGGAGGTTTGGCATGCTTCTCTTCAAATACTCCAGTTTTGGGATGTTTATGTCTGAAGATAAAATGAAGTTTATAATCTTCTCCACATTTATCTGGTCCAAACATAATGGTATAAGATGTTTTATCATAAAAGTTTTCCTACAAAGAGAGATGAATGATGGGATTAGTCCAGATTAGAGTATTTAACAAATTTCTCTTTCTATCCAACTGGGTAGAGTTTATAAAACCATGTTCAATGCTAAGTTGCCAAAGAATTACTCAACACAAGTAACAATAAACGTGGCAAAATGACAAATTTTATTTTAAAATAGATTGTTTTTACAGCACACACTACTTCCTTCATAAAGATGTAGGAGGGAAGCTGAAACCACCCTGGCAACCCCATAATAAGCCTTAATGACTTTATGTAAATTTGCGTTATTAGTATTTTATTAAGAAAATAAAGCATAGAGAAAAGCATACATATGACCTTAAGACTACAATGATTATCCATTACTATCATCAGGAAGACACTAGAAAATGACCTTCCTAAGCAGAGAGAAGAGAAACTGAGACACAAAAACAGACACAGCCTGTTTTTACTCGTGTTTTACTACCAGTAATTTCTCTTCACTTAACACAGCCTACTGCTGGAGAGCATGGGATCTGGAGTCGGAAGCTAGGGTTCAAATCCTCCCCCTGCCACTTGAATCACTGCTTGTGCCTCTGAGCAAATTTCTCACCTCTCTAGCTTTGTTTCATCACCTCTGAAGTACGGATGCAATAGTAGTGCCTACCTGTGAAGAGTGCTCTGAGGATTAACTCAGTGAATCAGATAAAGGGCTTAAAAGAACACTTGGCAGTAGATTTTGTCATCGTCGTTATACCTTCAGGTGATGGTCACCTGACAGCACCTGAAACAGGACCTTCCACATGCAATGCGTGGGGCTTCCCCTTTACCTGGCCCTGGCAGGGGGCATGAACTCTGTCTCCCCGTCTCACAGCCTGGGTACAGCCTGGATCCCGACAAGGGTCCCATGTCCTCGCCTACCTCAGGTCTGCTCCCAGACGTGGAGCCTGTCGAAGCCTCCAGTAGGGAGTGCTGGGAGAAAGGTCCCTGTCCTTACCCTCAAATGGCCCTGTGCCACCCGCTTCGTTGTGAAGACACGTTTAGTTACCTTTGTGGGGGACTGGAACACCTTTTTAATTTGGTTCTTTGGTGGTTTTGTTTCGCTGCTTTGCTCTGTTATGTTATTTCTCTGGACAAATTTATGATTTTTATTTTGCAAAAAGAATTGACTCTAGGCTGATCTCTCCATCACATTGGTAAGCAACATGCTATTTCTTATTTGTAGACATGGCACATGTTTTTATGTTGCTAAGATTACAAAACTGGATGCCATCAAGTGGTACTTCCATACGAGACACTTGAAGGCCCACAGTAAACCATTTTTACTCATGCTGGACAAGGATTTTCAAAGTTCTCAATTTCAGGTGAAAATAAAAACTTCAGTTTGATCAATAACTCCTTAAAATGCTTATTAACCTTAACAAAGTTTTCTTGAACGTTAAAACATCATACCAGATTCAAATCCGCAGTGTCTGCTAGGAGTTTAATGTACGCACCTCCACAGTCAATACCATCTTGAAAATTCACTTCATATCTAAACAAAGGGAAAAAACCATGCTGCTGATAAACAAAAGTCACTAATTGCTCTTCAGAATCTAATATATCACTTGCAATTCATTTAAACATAAATGTTTTATATTGCCAGGAAGCCCATAATAAGCTTATCCACAATCTATAGGAAATAAGTAGAAATGCTTTTTTCTATGCACATCTTTAAATATTAAAAGTAGAATGATTATCAACTATTAAAAAGCCAACTAATTTTTGAAATAGTTTTTCCATCGAAACTGATGAATTAAGAATAATATAGTTTGACTAAAGCTGGAATAGGAAACTTCAAATTCAGATAAGAAATTCATTATAGGTATTTCTTTATAGACTGAAAAACAAAGACTATGAGGACCACAGCTACAGCAACAGAGTTCTAAGAAACTGCTGATGATCTTAGATATCCAGGTTCACTACTAACTTGCCTTGTAGTTGATTTATACCTAACCATGTTAAAAAATGTGTATTTAATTAAATGTCTTCAGCAAAGAGATTTCATAATCTCAACCAATAACCTGGAATATTTCAGACTTTAACAGGCAGGAGACATGGGGCCTATGAAGGGGGACCCCCAAAAATAACAGAATTATCTTCTGGAGGGCAGGCCCCTTGTAATACAGGGTTCCCCCACTAGGTGAGTGTTCTAGGAACCCATCTGTATCAGTGCACCAGCTGGCGTTGTTGTGAGAGGCTGCGTTTAGCTTCAGTGAATATGTGAAAGACTCTTTCAACACATTTGCCCAACTCATAATGGGTAAGCCCTCTGCTGCATTTCTCAAGATCTCTACATTATGGTGACAAGCATGAACTTTGGAGTCAAAAAGACCTGAGATTTATTTGTGATTCTGCCACTTACTTTAGAGACACCGAGGATAAAGGCAAGTTATTTGGGAGCCAAGTCTCTGTTTGCTCATCTATGGGATGGGCACACACCACCCACTCCTGCACCTCAGAGGGCTGTCGTCCCTACACAGCAGCGGGCAGGTAAACACTCAAAATGTGACCACAGCTTCTCTTGTGGTCAGAAGACAGGTTTTATTCTTTCTAATCTTTCAAATAAAGGACAATCTGTTTTCCTCAAAGCCTTATCAACATTTTTGGTAAGCAGTAGCTGACAAAGAAATTCATGTCTTTGAAGACTATAAAGTAAATGATGCACGTGTGAATTAAATGTACACACTCACTATTTTAAGTAAAATAACATTAGGAGCAACATAGGTGCCTTAAAGAAAAAGAGTTCTATGAAAAGCTAAGAATGAAAGAACAATTTGTAAATCGTATCTATAACTGTAAACATCGGTAAGTTATCCTATTATGTCTAGACTCAATCACTACGTCTATTATTTTTAAATCAATCTGCTTTTCACTTAAAACCTCAGGGTGTTTGTGTGTATACACGCATTGTGTGTTTAAGTGAAATGAAAAGGAAAATCTGAGTTTTTATGCCCATTTTATAACTAGCTATATTCAGAAGTCAAACCATATCAACTAGTATAAACTTTAGAAAATATTCAAAACCAAAACTTACTGAACTATTAAAGGTTTATCAGCAAAAACGAAGGGCTTCGCTAACGTCGCCGATATCGCGTGATGCTTCGCTCTGGATTTCAACACCAGCCCTCTGTCGCCAGGCACCTGGTTTTCTTTCAGTTCTTCTATTTCCCATCTTCCTAAAACACAGAGCAGGGCAAATTACACTACAACCAAAACACTGACTCAAAAATGATTTATCAGCTGTGGTGATCCATAAGATTTTGCTCTGCAGGCTGATTTGGGAAAAATTTTTAAAATTTAAATCAGGAAATAATATCTATTCCTTTTTCTCTTAACAGAGAATGGTTTCATTTTCTAGCTAAAATTGTGGAAACAAATAATAAACACTATAGTATCTGATTAAAGCCCTTTGAAAGCTGGCTTAGTTTGAATTTTTCTGACTCTTTAACCAATGAAATTACAAAATATGCTGTGTCTCATAAGGTCTATCAACAGTGTATTTTCAAAATTACACATGAGATGAACAGCATCCTTAACATAAGATGTGCAGTTTGCCTCAGTCTTACATATTTGGAAATACATGGTATTTAATAGCTACTTTTCTTACTTTGGAGAAGTTACTGTGGGGATTTCAACTTTATTTTGAAAATTGTATGCCCCATGAACACACTGCAAATTGCCCTTCCCAGGCTAAGCCAACCAGCTCTCGGAGCTGCAGGCAGAGCACGGGGCGAGCGAGGCACAGACACAGAGCTGTGCCACTGCAGAGCTGAGTCCGGCCCCCTCCAGGCTCGAATTCCCCAGGTTTAAGGTCAGGAAGCTGCTGAAATTAGATTGTGGGCTGCATACAACACCTGCAGCCCAAACGTTGTGTATTGGATTTTTCTCCTTTCCTCTTTTTAGAAAGAAATATCACCAACTTATATTAACTAGTTCTAGCTTTGCCTCTTCCAAAACCCCCTCAATTTAACAAAAATTGTCTATTTTCCAGTATTGTGCCAACTTGAAATATTAACAGGCAGCTTTGAATCTCTAATGCTTTTCATACTACTTTCTTTTCTTTCTTTAAAAAAAAAACACGCACAGTGCCAGAACCTGAACCAGTCTTACGATTCACAGAGAGGTGTTTCGGTCTGTCATTGTGCAGACTTCACTGGACTTTCAAAAATGAAGTTTTTGGGTATCTTTTGCTTTGCCCCTCTAATTTGGTTACACTATACTTTTCTTAAAATAATTTATTTGATGTCTCTTCTCTCACAATGATGATAAAGTGTATTATCACTACTAACCTGTGGTTTGATCAAAATAAAAAGGTCTTTTAAGAAGTAATAACCTTATCTTTAGAATTTTTAGGATATTTACAATATAGGACTTGAAAAATATATTGCCTTTATTGTAATTATGCACACTTATAAGCTATGAAAAAGGTACCACCTAGCACTTTAATTTTAGAAAACTTGTCCCAAAGTAATTATTCCTCAATGTCAAGAAGTTTTTCCCAACTTCAAATAGACAATTAACCAATCACTTATCCAAATATATATGATACCAGATAATATAAATTCTGATGTCAATAAAACCTTTAAAAATTTTACATGGCTTCATAAAACATCCTGAAAGTTGGTCACTTGAAGAACTGGTACTTATTAAACACATATTGTACTTTTATTAACAACTTAATGTGACAATATAAATGTCTCCTCCTGGTGCAAACTCTGTGTCCCTGAACATGCTTTACACGGACTTGTTACTCCTGAAAATACGGAAATGAGTCCCACTCACGTGGCACTCGACAAGAGCTATCATTAGCCACTGTGAATACCAAATAGTGCAGCAAAGGAAAGTAACATCAGTGGCTCATGGATAGATAACCAGCGGACTTCCAGAAACACTAGAGAGGAGAAAAGACTGAATGTTCTGTTGTGAAGACCAAGGCTCCTTGTTTATACTTAATAGAAATACAGTCTCAAAAGCTAGTGAACTTCGGGTCATACCAGTTATATTGAATATGTAAATAAATATCTTACCACTATATATGGAAGTCTCCGTGTCTGCATCATCTTTCTTTGCTTTTGATAGGACCCACCTATAAATACAGGTGAAAGCAAATGTGTACCATTAAAAATAAAACAGGAATTTATAGGTACAATACAAGTTAGAGACACAAAAAAAGAAGGCCCAACAGTTACTTCTCATTAAAAAATACATAAATGCGGCCCTGGCTGGTATAGCTCAGTAGACTGAGCACAGGCCTGTGAACCAAAAGGTTGCTGGTTCAATTCCCAGTCAGGGCACATGTCTGTCTCTCTTTCTCCTTTCCTTCTCCTATTTCTAAAAATAAATAAATAAAAATCTTTTAAATAAATAAATAAATAAAGGCCCAGAGGGTAAATAAGGATGCCTATACCTCCTCCTGCAAGGTCAGAGTTAAATCAAATTTGCAGCTTACTAGCTGTGAGACTATTAAGTCTCAGTTTCCTCACCTATGAAACGAGGTAAAGACAGTACGTACCTACCTGCTTAGGACAAGGCCTGACACGTGACAATAGGTAATAACCTACTGTTTTCCCGTTATTCAGAATGGAAGAGTAAAGGGAATGTGTCATGTGAAATTGGGTTATTGCTATCTGTCCTAAGAGATGAGGAAATGTTATAAATTTTTACCTTATATTCATAATTCATTGATTTTCTTTATATACATGAGTAACTATTCAAATTAAACATTTCTATCAATAGCAAAAATGTGTTAAGGTACTGGTTTACTCTGTCAAATAAAGCACTTTAACATTTTTTGATAGTTCCGTAGTAGGAGCAATTTTCATGGGCCAATACCCAGTAATTTCTAAACAGTTAATTGAGTCAGGGAAATAGTCCCTTGAGCAAACACTCACCCAGCCAGCTTTCCATTATCAAAAGTTTCTGTAAAATATACTTCTCCTGTAGGTTGAGGGGTCTTATATTTAACCTAGAAAATAATTTTTAAAAATCTAGTTATGTATTCCACAGATATTTTAATAAAGTCTCACTAGTTAGGAACCTAATTTGTAATGGACAAATAGGTAATACAGATAATAAGGTAGCATGGTCTCTGCATCCTAGTGCTGGGAAGATATAGGAGAATGTTCAGAGACAAAATCATGGAGAAAATACCGTTTGTGCGAACAGAGGGCACACCGACTCCTTCTAAGGCAGAAGGAGAGGGAAGAGGGAATAGAGATGGCCTCGTCACACCGCTGACATGGCCATTAAAGAATTCTAACAGGTGGCAATATTCAGGGATATAAACCATTAGAAGCAAAAGAAATAGCACGATCGAAAACCTGTGAGATGAAGGACTTAGTAGTCAGCATGCAGGCTCATTTGAAATGAACTCTTAACTGTCACTGAATGTGACTACAGGATGATGATACCATGTTGAGAATGAGGGACCCAGGGAAGAAAAACATTCAATAGAGAAAGGCCCGAAGAGCAAGGGATCTGCACGGCGCCTACGATGGCGACACCAATGATGGATGAGGTGGGTGGCGATGACGGGAGAGACATGATGGCTCTTGTACTCCTCACAATACTTCTGGGAGGAAAGTGCTGTGGTGCCCACTTCACACAGGATGGAGCTGCAGGAGGCAAAGCAACTGCCTGCTGTCTCACGGTTAGATAACCACAGTACTTGCAGATAATGGTCAGGCTGTCTGCTTCTAAAGCATGTACACCTAACTACTGCACTCTGCGGAACATATCTACAAAAGAACTTGAAAGATTAAAGATAATTTATTGACAAATTATCAACAGATAATTGAGTTGATGATGAATTATTAAATTTTGCCAAAAATCATGAATCTGGGTTCTTTTTGACAGCCTTTGTGATTTTATTCGTGTCATTAATTGTGAGGTTTCTTCTCTTAGCCTTTAGGGAAAAGGATGCTGAAGTATCTCTTCTACTTCCACTGCCCTTATCCTGGCGCAGGAAGTGTAACATTTCCTATCTGTTAAAGGGAGGAAAGTCAGTAATGAAATAAAGTTCCACATAACTCTTGACAGGGTCGAGATTCTGCTATGGAAATAGTCAGCCTGCAGGAAGCTCCTGAGCACGGCTCCGCTGCCCTCTCGGTTGGCTCCCAGGGATCGGCAGGCCCAGTGGCACAGCGGGCGCCTGCGAGGGTGCCCCAGGTCCCTGAGCACCACCAGCAGTTCATGCTGCCCTTTGGTTACACTTTACCATCCTGGATGACTCAGGCTGCACTGTGAGAAGGCTCGAAAATCTTTCCTACTTCTTATCTTTTCTAATTACCTCCAAATAGCGTTAAGAGGGGTAGGTGTCTGCCAATTCATTTGAAGCGTTGGCCTCCAAAGACCCTGCAGTAGCTGTACCTAACGCAGTCACTGGCCCTTTGATGACTTCCTTTCTGGGGCTCACAGAACTAGGCTTTGTGGTTGTAGACCTTAACATTTAACAGGAGAATGAATGTCCCCCGATATCGACAACGGCAGAACACTTGCATTTGCAAATGACAAACTCTCCAGGAAGTCTGGAACAACCACCTGTTACTCTTGTGGGCCCTTTAGCAGTAGCTGGCACAATACAAGTGATGCTTTCTCACCATCAAAACTAGTTCTGAACAACATTCAGACTGTCTTAACAGGATATAGGAATATTCCTCAATGTGAAAGCACCTCTCGATCGCCAAGTACACAAAAGTCTCTGCCAAGTCCTATGACTCGTCAGGCACCACTGGCGGCACCTGTTCACAACGCCGAGACAGAGGCAGGTCCGTTTACCAGTGACCGCCTGCCTCTGCATCACTGCCCTGTCTCATTCCTCCTTTCACTTACTATTTTTTTCCTTAAATAAACAAAACCTGCTTACGTTACTTCAAGGAGAACCACAAATAATACTACCTTTTGTTTTTTGGCTAAGGCCGTGTCCGAAGTAAGCCTGCAAGCCTTTCCCTGAGTGAGAAGCACTTAGCCCACCTTAGCCAGCGCCGAGCCCCTCCTGTTTTGCTAGTAAAGACCTTCCCCATGTTTGTGCGGTAAGGACACCACGCTCAGCGCCATGCACACATTCTGCAGCACAGGGGCACTCTAAAACACAAAGCAACAAACAGTTGGGGAGACAGGCAGTGTTTTTCTATTTATTTAGAAAACGAAGACTATTACAACTGAAATAGATGTTAAGAGGTTAGTCACTCCTGTGTATCATGCATTAAAGGAATAATTTACAACTGATTTCTCTATACCCTTACCTCTGAGGAGAGTTCATCTTCATTAACATCAATCTCTCCTGAAGTTTCATCAAAGTCCGTCCTCTCAACATCATCATCCATCAATTCTGCATGAATTGAGATGCTTAGAAGACCCAAACATAACCAAAAGCCTTGGAAATGCATATTGATTATCTTTGAAATTAAAAGCTGTCAGGGAAATAAAACAAAGTTATGGAAAATATGTGTAAGTATATTACAAAGAAATAATTTCTCTTCAATACCTCCTTTATTCCAGGATGGCTTTTAAAACAAATCATTAAGAAAACTACATTAAGCTTTGAACAAGTGAAAATACAACCTTCCCATCTCACGAGACACAGAGTCGAGAGCTACGGGCCTGCCTCTGAGAACAGAGTCAATGACACAAACCTAAAGTCACTGGTCAGCGATCACAAAGGTCAGATAATAAGTGGACCCCGTTAAAGGAAAGAAAAGGGATGGTTCCCAAATGTTTGCTTAGGTTGCTTTATTTATTTCAATGTTGTTTAAGTATATAAAAACATACAATTGGAAGTTGTATAATAATAAAGCCAAAATAGGACATCTGTAAGGAAAAAGTCCCGCCACTGTCAATATGAGAACGTCTTGTGCAACATCCATGTAACCTGGCAGCCAAGGAGCGTGGACTAGAATGTGCACGTGTGAACAGTAACAACTTCACTGTATAGTCAGAGGGGGTGGTAGATGCTACTGAATGAGCACGTGTACTGTGTGGCTGTTGCATTCAAAATGAGCGAGCAGAGCAACAAATCTGCAGCATATTCTGCATTAAGCTTGAATAGTCCTCCATGAAAACTACTCAGATAATTCTGAAAGCTGTATCTATGGGAAACTGGTGATTGGCGGCTTCATCACGACAACACACCCACTCGTGCTTCACGTCTCCTGCAGTTTTTTTGTGCAACATCAAATCTCCCAGGTGACTCAGCCTCCTACAGCCCAGATTTGGTGCCTTGTGACTTTTGGCTTTTCCCAAAACTAAAATCACCTTCAAAAGGGAAGAGATTTCAGTCTGTTGGTGAGATTCAGAAAAATATGAGGGGGTAGTTGGTGACTGGGAGAGCTGTGCGGGGTCCCAAGGTGCCCACTTTGAAGGGAACTGAGGCACTGTTGTCCTGTGTACAACGTCTCTTATATCTTATATCATCTTTAATAAACGGCTCTATTTTTCATATTCCATGGCTGGATACCTTCTGGACAGACTTCATACATTTATGAACACCAAAAAATTTTTAAAAAGAACCTTATCACAATGTAATGAGATAGTCTTTTGCTGAAATCAATTCACAGCTTAAAAACCAAATAACTATGGAACTTTTATTGCAATCGGGCTGACTGCTCTGGACAAAGTTCTTTAGCATTTTTCATTCCTGTAGTACTGTGATGACTCAGTTATCTAACTGCTTCTCTATTCAAATACGGAGAAACTTCTGTTCCTTAGAGCCAATTTTCAACTGCTGTGCCACAAGACTTTTTAAAACACACAATACCTGACTATTTAGTCAGGGGCCCTGACCTCTTTCCCTTAGATTATCCAATAAAATAATGACAACAGCCACCAAAACAATAACCATCCAGTGTGAACAAATCAAAATTATACCTATTTTTTTGTCAGATTGGCAAAAAATAATTTTGGGGTGTGCCATAGAATTTTAGTAGTTATTACTTTGTGTGTGCCATGCGATGAAAAAGGCTGAAAACTGCTGCCTTAGAGCATTAATTGAGATGAGAAGCCAAATATAATTTGGCTGCTTTTTGGCAAAAATACCTGATTTCTACATTAGGTCCTCCTCTGTTCCTATCAGCATGTAAAGATGCAAGCTTTGTTTCCTGGTGCCAACGGACTTTTAAATACCAAGGACCTGTGGACGCTGAACAGTGTGGCGATCTGCAGTTATAAGGTGCTCAGTTGCGATGATCTAGAGTCTCGTTCTATTACCTTTTTTCCAAAGTTACCATCAACATAAAATTTTTAAAATTCTCAAAGAGAACATATTCATAGACCTATATAGGTCTGCGTAAGAAACAACTGATCTATGAGACAGGATTCTACTCCCACCAGGACGGCTATAATGAAAGCAGAGAGGAAGACATGACGGGGGGGGGGGGGCGCTGCGGAGAAACTGCAGCCGTCACACACTGCGGTGGCAAACGGAAAAAGGGCAACAATTTGGGGAAGCAGCGCCGTGCCCTGCAAAGTGTTAGACACAGAATTACAATATGACCCAGCAAGTCCCCTACTCGGTGTCTTCCCGAAAGAAATTAAAACAGATTCCCACACAAAAAACTTCAATAGAAATGTTTAAAGAAGCATTTTTTTCAAGAGTCAAAAAGTAGGAACAACCCAAATGTCCATCCACTGATGAATGGGTAAACAAAATCTGGACTATCCATACGACCGAGTATGTAAAGCAGAACGGAGTGCTGACACACTACGAGACAGATGAGCCTCCAAAACATTACGCCTAGTGAAAGAAGACAGTAATCACAACCACATATTATATGACCCCATTTAAAATAAATGGGCAAACTCACAGAAATGGAAAATAGATTAGTGATTACCTAGGGAAAGAGTGGAAAGAAAGGGTTAACAGATACAAGGATTTTGGGAGAGGGTTGATGAAAATGTTCTAAAATTAGAATATGGTAATGACTACATAACTGTTAAGTATAGTAAAACCCGCTGACCTGCACACATTAAACAGGTGAACATGGAGGTCAAAATAATGTATCTATAAAGCTGTTTCCACAACAGAAACATCAGACTGTGAAAAGCTTTTTTTCCATGTAGTAAGCTCAACAGATTGGAGAACCCTTTCTAGTGAGATCGAAACCTTACGCAGATGTGTGGGCCGGCCTGTCTTGGCTTTTACTAAAGGTCACTGGCTACGGCTCTAATGTTGAAAATCATGAAAGTGCATTTTTAAAAAAATCAACATCAACCCACTACAAAATAAGCCCTCTAAATACATTCAAAGATACGTGAATACCATCGTCTTTTCAGACAAAGATAACAATAAAAACGGCGCATGCTGCTATTTGTTAGAAGAGCTTGAGCTCCCTGAACTGTAAGAGAGGTATTACTGGAATAGGGATAAATGAAGGAGGGAAATCTGAGGTAGGTTACCTCTCTAACAAGAGGTAGGTTTATTTTTTAATTTTCACCTATTGGCAGAGAAATGAGTATATCTGCAAGTTGTTATTAATTGTTAATAACCCTAAAAGCTTCACTGTTCTAGAAATTGTCTTTTGTGATTTATACAATGTAAAGGTATTGCTTGACACACTATCAATAACACTTGAGTAAAATAACAGCAGCAGTAATGAACATTAAATATAACTTTAGAACTCCATCTGCTCCTTCAAAGTGAACACATACTTTAGGTTCTTGATTATTAGTTGAAAAAATTAAGTCCCAAGCATGTCGCTTGGCTCCACTGTGCTGGCCTGCCAGGGCAGAATCGCTGGGAGCCCTATTCTACACAACCGCATCTTTGCAGCCTGAGAAACAAACAGGATGGGCACTGTCACCTGAGCTGCAACTGGAACCAGTAAGACTTTAAAAACTGGTCAAAGTCATGTGACTAGGAACATGAAACAAGATTAGAATCCAGAAATGTTACATCAATATATCATGCTACCTCTCATTTTAACTTCACCCGCTACACTAGTATATGCTTGCTGATAAAACAATGGAGAGACATCACAAAAATGTTAACAGCATGCATTTTTCAAACCTCTTTAGAAACTTCTAGAATTTGAACTACTAATACTATTAAGCTATGAAGCTATTTACCCAGAAATGGTCATATGTACCTTACTATTTAAGAGAAATACTTAAAAATAAATTGCAAGTAGTCGCAAATGATTCTGCAGATAATGCACTTCTAAAGGATAATAGTCTCCGTTAGAACGGTACGCAGTTCAAGGTTGTTGTTGCTATTTATTCCTTCTTAAAAAATTAGAAATACAGACCTAATGGTTTAATTCTTCAGTGTCTTATCTCTACTCAGCGATGCACCACCTGACAATTCAGAATTACATCATGAAACTCACAGGATCACTTAAAAGTCTGTAACACTATGGTGCCCATACGCCATCACGCTCTGAACAAAACTGTGAGGTCTGTCCCATATTGCTTCTTAAAAGAAGGAAGATATTGCCAAGCCTGCACTGGAGATTTGAAGTAACTAACTCATGGAGTTTAAATGTCTGTTTTACATTATGGTATAGAATACACATAACATACAAGTTACCATTTAAACCTATTTAAACTGTTCAGTTTGGTAGCATTAAATACATTCACACCGTGGTACAACCGATCTACAGCACCTTCACCTTGCAAAATTAAAACTAAATGCATCAAGCGACAACTCCTGCATCCCCCCCTCCCCTTCTCCTAAATCCCTCCCAATCACAGTTACTTTTTAGTTCTAACAGATCTCTTTTGGGTGGAATCTTTGGGTTTTTCTACGTATAAGGTCACATTATCTGTGAACAGAGATAATTTTACTTCTTCCTTTTTAATGTAGATTTTTTTTTTGTTTTTTCTTGCCTAATTGAGCTGGCTGGGACGACTCCTTTTCTCCTTGGCTTCTGTGGCAGCATTCCTGAGTCTGGACTCTCTGCCTCTCCTCTGCCTGCTTCCTGGGCACTTTCTCTGATTTTCTGTAAATACTGCCGTTCTTTAGGATTCTGCCCCAGGTTTCTTCTTACATCACATATGCTCTAGGCTTCTAGTTAAAAAGTCCCAAATTTTATTCACAGCTCAGGGTTACACAATGTTTGGATTCAAATAATTATCCATCTTCAAGAATATCCCAATGCCTCCATCAATTTGAACTTGATCTTTCCTCCCAAGGCTGCTTCTCTATCTCCTTAGCTCCCTTCTCCCATTAACTGCACCTCCAGTCAACCACTGTGTTAAAACTATTTTTTCCCACTGATCCCCTGTCTCACTGGTAACTAAATACATTTGGATATTTCTTAAATGTTTCTCTCTGCCCCCTGCCACAGCTTTAAGGAAGTGAAAGGAACCCGTCTTTTCTGAAAAGGCTTGGTAAACTCCCACTGCACCTCTTCAATTCCAGTCTTGCCAATCTTCAAATCTATCCTCCACCTTCCCTCTGGCATGCATTTTCTGAAAACAAAAGCCCTTTTATCTCCACAGTTTATGGAAATGTTCAATAGTTCTCTGTACTTCTCAGTATAAAGTCTGTCCCTTTAAGACTCTTTTCTTTCACTCTCTTCAACACTCACCTATGTAGTACGTTCATGCCTCTCTATATGCTATTCTCTTTTTAAAAGGTTTATTTATTTATGCCCTTTGGGGGAGGAAGGGAAGGAAAAAGAGAGGGGGAGAGACATCAAAGGGTGGTTGCCTCTCCCATGCCCCCTCCTGGGGACCTGGCCCAGGCATGTGCCCTGACTGGGAACTGAACCCGCAACCTTGGGTCACAGGCTGCACTCAATCCACTGAGCAGCACCCAGCCAGGGCATCTATATGATATTCTTACCACTGAGATGCCTTTCTGCTATTCAATGGCTTTCAGTTTCAATGGCTGACTGGCGACCCATCCAACACTAGTATGCCTCAAAAACAGTGCTTGAAAATCACTGTTATGTCAAGTTTCAGTTGTCATGCAGCTTCAGGAACTCAACCGCAGAATGATATAATAGAAAATACACTGAACTTGACACCAGGGCACCAAGTTTCTACTATTTTTTAAAAGGCAAGGAATTAAAACTCCCCTGGGCCTATTTTATCATTTGTCACATAAAAGTGTTAAACTAGATGATCTAACAGTGCATTAATGGTAACAATTCTAGTTTTCCATTTAAGACCACTGAAAATCATTAGGTACTGAAAATAAGCAGTAAGGCTAACTTACAACACTGTTTACCACCTACAGGTCCATCAACATACATCATTCACGCATACAATAAACTATCATACACAATACACTATAGAATACCTTGTTCTAAGGATTTAGGGGCACGATGCAAATATGACCGGAAGACTAAACCAGTTAGATATGAAGGCAAAACTGTGTAAATGAAAAAAAGAGGTCAAACTTAGAATCACCAAAAGGAGGTCTACCTAGAGTGACTGAATGACCTGGGGTGATGTAACAATTCCGAAGGGAGCAAAATCTTAAGGTTAGACCAGGGTTTTCATGGCTTTTACGCTTCGGAACGTTTCAATGTAAATGAACTCGTTTCTAATTTGAGTCTTTTCTCCCCATGGCCATTCGAATTACTCTCTCTCCCCCTCTTCTGAGTTTTGTTCTCATTTGCTTTTAAACCTCAAGCAAATGACTCCTCTTTGTTACTTGGGGAGATGTGATAGATAAAATCAGCGGAAGCTTCTGATTGACCACAAACACCCTTTAGGCGGTAAGGAGTCTCTAGCAGTTAGGGCGTTAGATTTCTCCCAGCTGTACAGCTGCGTCCCCTGCGGCGCACGCCGGGCTCCAGGCAGCGCGTCTAGGGAGTGGTCGGCGTCACCCGCCACCGCCACCAGGAGAGTCGAGTCCTGTCGCCTTGACTCAGGAGAGGATTGCCCGTGCACAGCCTATTTGGTTTGGTTCACGTTTTCGTGAGAAGTAGCTGGCGGGACCAGCAGCGACGCGACGTCCTCCACCCCACGCCCGCTCCACACCCCTCAGGAGCGCGCAACGCGGCTCGAGCGTGGAACGGGTAACCGCTGGAATAACGGACTCGGCTCCCGGGGTCCCCTAAGGCTTGGGGGGTAACCCGGGCCCGGAGGGCACCTGGCCTGCCCGCTCCCTCTCGAGCCCCGGCGCAGCAGGTGGACAGAGCAGTTTCAAGAGGACCCAACAGACCCGAGGTGGCATCAACACCGCCGCCGGGGCTGACCTTCCTCCTCCCAAGGCCGAGAAAGACCGCCCACGAACTCACTCGCGGCACCCCGTCTCCGAAGTCTGCGCCCGCCCGCTCACCCGGCCCCAACCGCTTCGGCCTGGCGGGGCGCCAAAGAAAGGGGTGCGGCCCAGGACCCCCACCCCCGCCCTGGGGAAAGGAGTAAGGACTCCGGCTCCTCGCCCCGTCCGGCGTGCAAAGGGCAGCGGGAGTGTGGCCTACTGCCCACGCACCTGTCTTGCGGGACCGTTTCCGGAGTGGCAGCTTATATGTTCGAGTCGCTGCCACTTGGTCCCCGCGTCTCCCTAGACCAACACCGCCCGCAGCTGCCGGGCAGCGACTGCTCACCGCGCATGCGTGTGCGGCGGCGGCGGCGGGAGGAGGCGGCGGCCGGAGGCGCGAGCCGAACGCTCAACGGCCCGGGACGGAGCGGCGGGGCGCGCTGGGCGCTGACGCCGCAGCGGCGGCTTCGCGGGCCCAGGGGGTCGTGGACGCGGCTCTTGGGTCGGCCGAGGAATCCGTGATTATTTGTCTTGCGACTTTTCCCTCCCGCGGAGCGCCTACCCAGACTGCGAACAGTAGGGTTCTGCCTCCAGGCGCACATAACGGAGTCCTGAATTCCTTGTAAATCGTGTGTTTGAAAAGCTGGTGCCCCAGGCTTTTCCTAGAGTTCTGTAGGTGATGAGGTCACCGTGGTCAGCAGGGAGACTTCCTATTTCGTGTTTGTGTGATATGGGTATATTAAATGTGAACATAATAAAGACACTATTATATGTTTCTTTGCGAAATACTCTTAAGAATTTTTCTCCTGAGACCCATTCATACTGTATGCCCTGTTAACACATTTCCTAGCAGAATCCTAACTTGACTCTTGGACTCCTCGTGTAAAATCCGGGTTGTAGTGAATTATTTTCTTAGTGGCTTTGGACTCTAGTTCTCATGTTGTATTTAGAATTATCATAAATGATATATAAATCTGTGGCTTTCTTTTTGTGCTAATATCAGGATTAGGTATTCATGTTATACCTACTCATTAAAATAATTTGTGAAATGTTCAGTATTTCCTGTATTCTGAAACAATTTAAAAATATTGGGAATGCCTGCTTTCTAAAAGCTTACTTGAATCTCCCTGTGCAGTGACTAGGTCTGGTACATCTTTGTGATTTTTATAGTTATTTCTCACAAACTTTATTTCTATGAATACTGATTGGCTTAAGCTTCTTGTCTCCACTCAAATCCATTTGGGTAAACTGCATTTTCCTAAGAAATCACTCATTTTATCTGGCTTCTTTTAAAGAAAGAAAACAATTATCAGGAAAACAAAAGCCTATCAGCTCCTATAAACTTACTCATAATTCCTTGCCTTTGACTTGGCATCATCTAAAAATGTATGCCAAGATAATTAAGGGGAAAAAAACATAAGAAGATGGTTTGCATGAGGAAATGCCTGCCTGGACTTAACTCCAGTTATTTGGTTATGATGATTGCAATTCTGCCAGAGGGTGGAAGTCCACATAGAAGTACAGAAGAAACCCCAAAATATTTTATACACCTAAGTTAGTAGAGAGTATCTCTTTCCCTTCTACCCACGTGTGTGGCCATTTATTACAACTCCTATTAGTAGTAATAGTACCATATTACTATTTACTTTAACAGTAAATAGTGCAGGTGTTGGTGGTTTATTTTAATACCCGAGAGACAGTGGCAACAGAGAATTTCACTTATGTTTCAGTGTTTGCAGAGCTTCTATTCACTTGCGGGGGAAAGCGTGTTTAAGAAAAAAAGAATTCACTAAATCTGGTCTCTGAATGGGGTTTCTACAAACTTACGGCTATATTGATTCAGAGGCTTTTACACATCATTTGCCTTCATTTGGAGAAAACGTGATTTTTAAAAAGCAAAATCAGTATGAATGCTCTAAAACAAATGCCCAAACCAGACAATGAGCACTATTTGCTCTGCTATACCCTAGCTGAGTGTCAGGGTCCCCCACATCCCCCACCTCCTCCAGCTACAGGCCAGAGACCACCGGTGCTGAGTGAGCCTCCAACACCCAATGAGCATCAGGGAGCAGTAGGGATGGGAATGGAAACCAGGGGCATCTCTCCTGGGACATTTTCTAGAAATGCTTTGTGCCAAAACAATTATTCTGTAATCATTTCGTTCAGGACAGCAGTATTGGGTTGGATCTCTAAGGCTGTCTTTTAACTTTTTTTTTTCCTTCTAGCGTCTGCCACTCTCAAATGCCTCTTTCTGAATGCCAAAGCAGCATTCCCTTGGAATCATCTATACTTCTCAGTAACATTTGGTGATGTCGGAGAGTGTCCTTTATTACTGGGGAGTGTTCCAGTTTACGGTCAACCCTTCGGCTATCTCGTTTGAGTCTTGGATGGTAGGCTAAGGAGTCGAAGTAAACACTATTTCAAAGAATGTTGCCATCTTTTCGAGAAATGCTGTACCTGGACTTAGCTTTAATTTTTCGTATTAGTCTGGAATATGCTCTGGCAAATTTAATTTTAAAAATTCAAAATTTTAAGTCCAACTTAATTTTTTGTAACATACATATAATTACTTTTTTTCTCCTCCCCTGCCCACCAGCTTTGATATATAACTTCCTGTAAAAGGAGAGAATGAAACAGACACATATGGACAGTTCATCTTTCAGGGTCTCTATACATTGGTATGTCCTACACTTCACACTGAGGCTCATGCGTGAAATTTTGGTACTTAAGGATAAAACAGCAGTATGAATTAAGATTTTCATATTTGATGAAGGATAAAAAAGTTTATTATTTCTGACAATAAACTAAAACTCAATAGAACGATAAGAATAGATTTTAATAGACTCCTATAAGAAACTGATGGATCAAGTGGACAAACATTAGTAAGGACTTAAAAGACTTTACTGTAAAAGCCTGATATGAATGAGCCCTGTACCCCATAAATAGGAATATTTTAAGGCATTTTTAGAGCACAAAACTAACATTTATAAAAACAAATGAGTGCAACACACTGTAAAGGGACCCCTTTAAAATGCATGCAGAGTACATACACATGCTTTTCAAATTTGTACGAAATGTGAGTCGTAACAATTCTCAAATTTCATTGCACAAAATTCTCTAATAACGGTGTCATTAATAAGCAATCAACAATAAAATATGGCAAAACCAACATATTTTTAAAAACCCATGAACATTCCCAAATAACCCATAAGTTAAGAAGGCAATAATAAGAGAAAGTATGAAATCTTTAGAACTGAATGACTATCAGAATATATATATATATCAAACTCAAATGGCCTTTAGGGGTAAGTTCATAGTTTTAAATACATTTATTTAAAAGACAAGAAGATATTATGGGCTGTCAGACCCTCACTTGTTTCAGTTTGTGCTTTCTATTTCTTTACATGTCTTAACAAAGCGGCTAAGAGCAAACACCAATTCACACAGAACCTGTCTGTGACAATGTCAAGTTCTGAACTTTTAGCTATTTATTGAGATTATATGAGAGCATCACTATTATAGAACAGCATCACTAAATCAACAAAATAAATTTCTTAATTTTTAAAAACTCCCCTGACTTTACTGTTTTATATTAAATTATAACACTAAGGGTACATCATAAATGCATGTTCTAATTTTTCTTGCCATAAGAGGTAGTTTAATGCTGTCAGTTCCACTAGTTTGTTCATTGCTTTCTTCTTTTTTACATAATTATATACTTTCATTATCACAACGTCTGAAAGATGCCACTAGAAAGCACGGTTTCTGAGGTTCCAAGGTATAGAGCTTTTTCTTGTTATGGTTATTAGCTTCATATTCCCTGAAATTAAAATTATCATAGGGGTGCATATATTCTTTCAAATGGAAGTCACCCAAGTGCCCATCAATAGACAAGTGGATAAAAAAGCCCTGGTACATATGTATAATGGAATATTACACAGCCATAAAAAAGAATGACATTTTAGCATTTGCGACAACACGGGTGTGCCTAGAGGGTATTATTTTAAGTGAAATAAGTCAGTCAGTCAGTCAGAAATACTATTGGATTTACATGTGGAATCTGAACAACACTATAAATTAAAAAAACCCAGAAACAGACTCATAGACACTGAGAACGGACTGATGGCTACCAGAAGGGAGGGGCTTTGAGGGACCAAGTGGAAAAGGTAAACAGATTTAAAAAGTACAGACTGGCAGTTACAAAATGGTCATGGGGGTGTAAAGTACAGCACAGGAAATACAGTCAATAACAATTGTAATGACTATGTGTGGGGTCAGTGGGTACTGCAAATGTCAGGGGAACACTTTGTAAAGTGTGTGACTGTCTAACCACCAGGCTGTACACCTGAAACCAATACAAAATGATATTTAATGTAAATTGGAATTGGAAAAAATAAAAAATTAAAAATAAATTCATAACATGTAGAACTAAAATATGCACAAGGATGTAATTATTTCCATGACAATTACTTGATAATATTCTTTCCTTTTGGTACCACCTGTACCTATTAAGATGAGCTTACATTGGCAAGAGATATAATTCTTGAGATGTACAAAATAATGTCGGTTTTCATTTCAAGGTGGTGGTAAATGATTGAAAGCAGGCCTGGGAAATCCATGTTGTCAGACTATCATCACAGCCGAACAAACGGTTGTGAATAAGATACAAATATTTTAAACCTCCATTTTATTTTACTTTTATAATTTAAAACATAAATAAAGATTCAGGGTAGGAACATGAAAACACAATAATCTTAAAAGTAATATAGGAAAGAAAATAAGAGACTAAATATAATGTGAGAACTTGAGAAATTATGTTGTGAATATAATATTAGTAATACATTTCCTGTAAAATTAGTTTTGAATTTTATATCAAGAGGAAAAAGCAAAAAGCAAAAACATAATGGACCAACGGAATCCTGACAATTTTCTAGCAAAGATGATTTTTTTTCTAACTATTAATTCTAAGACAAAAAAGTCCCAAGTGACTTCGCATAAAAAAGAGATACATAAAACATTAACAATTTTGAAAAAGATTCAAACGTCCCCTTATGTCATTCTTTAATACAAGTCAAGGGCATAAACTTAACTGCTTCCGTTAAAGCGCTACTCCAGCCTGGCCATCACCTCCCACAGTGCTTATCAGATTTACCACCAACAACAAAACAATGTGTCACACACGCAAAACGGTCATTACTGAAATGCAAAGTGAACGGGAGTCCTTTGTTTTATGTGGCAACCCTTCCTCTAACACATGGCAACACTTTGCCCCACGCCCTGCATGGCAGGGCACGAACAATGGCTTCTCGTGTAGGAGGGGGCACAAGCAAGCTATACAAGTTGCACTGTTTGTCAGCTAACGGGATTTTACAATATTACATTTCATTTGAGTTTTCAGAAATTATTAATACTGAAATAATTTAGGTGTTCCTAAAAGAAATTTTGGAAAGTTTGTCATAGATGTAGAACATAAGGTGACAAAGAACATTCAAATTGAAAACAGGCAAAATTTTTAAATTTCAGAAACTAAAAAAATTATCGCTGAGATAAATTTTTATTATTTTTGAACTGCAAGGTGGATGAATAGAGATAAGCTAAATTATATTCTGTTTAATAAGCTATACTTTATCTTACACTTAAAAAGAATTTGTATGAGAAGTATAATATAAAATTTTAAGTGGCTAGGGAACAAATTTTACCCAAAGGTTTTTTTAAAAGACTGAAAGGAATAAATATTAAGGAAAACATAGTAACATAAGTGTTGGTCCTGGTTAAAGGAAAAAGGATGAGGTTAATCTCTCTGATGCCATGTAAATAAATCTTGTTTTACTCAATAAAATTAAAAATTCTTAAGAACAAAAATGAACTATCCTAACTCTTAGTTCAAGGTGATGGATGGCTGGACCTCACTGAAAGTAAGTAAATAAAAAAAGTATAACTCCGAACAATGTAAAGGATGCAAGAGGCTCTCAAGTTTATGGGAGATGCAGGTCTGATGGAGGACTAAGGGCTACAGAGAGCAGATGAGGAATCTGTGAACAGACACCTGGGGACAGAGGGCGACAGTGGAGATGGCCGATTTGGGGGAAGATGGGAGCTAAACTGGGGTGAGCACTGGGAAATGAAATAGGAGTCTATGTCGGGAGCACCCGCAGCCCACCCCTGAAACCGACATTATTTCCTACATCTTAAGAATTATATCTTTTGCCAGTGTCAGGACTTGATGGCCCAGGCAGCGCGCACACCCCTAGTCTTCCTGAAGCAAAGCTGGGTGGGCGTCTGCTATGATCAGAGCAGGGCGCTTGCGCACCTCTGCCCAGAATAGCACGCTCTGCATTCTGATGCTGGTGCCCCTTTACTCAAACCACTAGGGGGGAAAAATAAAACAACACAAAATGTGAAACAATAGCAACCTGGCCTCTCATACAAGGGTGTCCAACCTGTGGCCCAGGGGCCGCATGCAGCCCAGGCTGGCTGTGAATGTGGCCCAACACGAAATCATAAATTTACTTAAAACATTATGAGATACATGTGATTGTGTGTCAGAATGTATTTAATGTGTAGCCCAAGGCAACTGCTCTTCTTCCAGTGTCGTTCAGAGATGCCAAAGGCTGGACATAGTTCGCGAACCAACAGATTCTATCCACGTGCCAAAACCTCCCAGGAGGCCTCCTTCATCCTTTACTGTTTAACAAAGAAATAGGAGGATACGTGAAGTGTGGTGGGCAGAGGAAGAGGACACAATTTACCCGTATTGCCACCACTCAAAATCGACCAATATTAACATTTCCTATAAGCTCACTAAAATTCAGATAGCCATAAATCACTAAATACTTGAGAAAGCATGTAACATGGCAGGAAAGGATAAAAAAAATAAGCACTTAGGAAAGTGAAAGCTCAAGCCATAGCGAAGACTAGTGTTCAGACTATAAGCAGAAATATTGCAATTCAGAATTAAAAAGGCAAATGGCCCAATTTTTAAAATTTGAATACACATTTCACAAGTATACATTCCGTAAACATGTATTTCATTAAAATACATATTTTATTATTACATTTATATATACATGAATGTGTATATATAAAGGTACTCCGCATTATTGGTCATTAAAGAAACACAAATTAAAATCATGTGGAGATCGCTGAACTTGCTTTTTCTAGAATTTTATACAAATAGAATTATATAGTGTAGAGCCTTTTGCATCCGACGTTGTTTTCGGTTAGCATAATGTGTTAGAGGTTCACCCATGTTGTTATATTGATCTGAAGAAAACTCTGATTTATTGTCTCCAAATTCATTGTACATGTGCTTCTACAGTACATGATAGAAAAGGAAAATGAAATAATGATTGATTCTTCTAAAACAGAATTCTAGAGTATATCAGAAAGGTATTTGCACAAAATTTAAAAATAAACAGAAGGATATAAAATTAACCAATATCTGAGAATTTTCTTATATTAAAATTAATTTTTATACTTACCAGTTTATCCTTGAAGGTTTAACTTTTAAAAAATATGATAAAGTCTCTTATCCACTGTGAAGAAGGTTGAGAAATAGTCTAATCCTTGTTAGGCACTTTTTTCCAAGAATGATTCTGATCATTTTAAAAGATGTTAGAACTATGAAACTGCTAATAGTAGATATCCTGTTAGAAATTTTAAAAATAATTTAAATATAATCACATGACATATCACTAGTTTGTGTATTCTTATCTGTCTTATGTTGTATGGAGTATAAAAAGAAAAAAGCTATGAGTGTAACATAAAAAAATTAGTGATTAGACTTACCTGCTGCTTAATCTATTGTGAATTTACAAAGGTAAGGTTAAAGTAGCTTATCTGGCCAAAAAAACATGTATATATGCCAATGTAAGAAAAATACCGCATTCTAACAGTACCAACAAACAGAACAGCATAGATCAATCTGCATCGTCTGCGGCTGTGTTTCACGTATTTTGATGGTGTTACTTTTTGCATAAAGATTCATAACAGTTAAATTTCCATTATTCCAGACACTTGACTGTGTAGTTTAACACTTTTTATCTGGAGTTCCACCTTGCCTGATAGCTGACGGCCTACATATACTGAGTTCATGCTATGCTTGCAGGCACCGTTCTAGAGAGTGCCGTGCGATGAATCCGCAGCGATGGAGAAGAAAAGGAGGAAAGGAGGCAGGTAATAAACAATGGATGAAAGGATGGGAGGGTACAGGTGTGCCTTCCCCTCATTTCAACTGACAGTGGGTTAAAGCAACCACCTGCTTTGTTGTGTTGCAGATGTCAACAGTGTTTCAAATGCAGAAGAAATCTTAAGGATCATCTCATTTAAACTCCTAGTTTCATAAAAGGCGAGGAGAGCTCAGAGGGCTTGCCCAGCAGCACAAGCGCAGGTGACCACACTAAAGACTAGTTGTTCTGACTCCCGAGTCTTTGCTTCTTTACCCCACCAAGATGCTAAGTCAATAACACTGTAAATAACACTTCGTTTCCAAAAATGGTGAATTTACGAATGACTAAAAACCAAACAATGCTGAATTTTTGTTCACCTAATAGTGACTTGAAATAAGAATGAAAATACATTTGAATTAAATAAATAGTGAGGGTGTTTTATTTTTGTAATATTCTTGTATAATTTTGAATATTAGAGAAATAATGATTTTTTTATTATGACTTTCAAAACACTCTTTTAGTCTCACTGTTTGAATTGCAGAGCTGGAAACAGGCTATGCAGACTGGACTTTTTTAACTGGTAGAGATAACCTGGCTCTTACACAGGCGGCTGGTCCCCATGACGCACGGGTCTGGCAGGAGATGAACTGTGTTGAGAGCACCATGTTTTATAGTTTCTCTCATGTTCTTATCACTCCTTTTCTAAGTAACATTTTATAAGTTCATAAAACATTGTTTCTTTCTCAAATTACATTTTAAAATCTTACTTTTAAATATTGTTCTTTTCCAGGAAATGATGACTGTATACCCACATGCTGGAAAAGAGAAGGTTTGTATCGGATACGGACTTGCTTATTTCGTTCTGCACATTTCTCCTGGGGACAAAGAAAAACAACCATCTTTGGTTAAAACCCAAATGCTCCTTTTTACTGCACTTACTAATGGCAATTTTTTTATGATGTTAGTTTTTGCCAGGGGTCTCTATTAATATTTTTAAATTCAAACAAAACATTTATTTGTTAGCTTTGTCTTCATAAGGCTAATAGAACAAAAGAATTGAGATACAAAAGGGCTTTAGTTAAAGCAAGTATTGCCATGAACTCTGTCCGAGAAAATGTCTACTATTGTACCAACCCCCCATCTGCACGAGACCCCCGTGGATTCCTGAAACTACAGACAGTACTAAACCCCTCTACATACTGTGTTTATTCCTCTACATAGATATCTGTGATAAAGTTTAACTTATTAATCAGACACAGTAGAGGTTACGAACAATTTAAAAACAGAAAAACTGTCACAACATGCCACTTTTGCCATGTATAATGCACTGCTGTGTATAGCATGCACCCACACTTTTGTGTGGGCTAATACGTGGGATTATTATGCCCATTATTATACCCATGGTATGTGGTAATTATACCCACGTATAATGCACATCCTTACTTTTCCCTCAAAAACTCGGGCAAGAAAGAGTGCATTACACACAGCAAAACACAGGACTGGAGTAGAGTAGTGAACGTGGCGTTGTTAAGTAAAACGAGGGTTGCTTAAACACAAGCACCGCAGTGCCCTGCTGGGTCTGGTAACCGAGCCTGCGACTAAGTGGCCGGCGCGAAGGAAGCACACGCGGCGTGGAGACGCTGGGGGAGGAGGGCGCACGTTTCGCGCTGGACGATCCGGCCCGTACAAGGTTTCTCCACACTACACAGAATGGCAGGTGATTGAAAACGAGAATTGTCGATTTCTGCAATTTTCCACTTACTGTTTTTAGACTGTGGTTCACCTCGGATAAGTGAAACCGTGAAAACTGAAACTGCAAATAAGGAGGGTGGAGGGATACTGTATAATTTTCCTCTCACTTTCACTTTACTCCAAAAATTAATCAAGTTTTTAGTGTTTTTCTATCTGCCCACTTCCCTCAGACTACATTATCCTTCTTCCCATATTCGTTAATTCCTACATTACACCTCTCATTTCTTAAATGGTAAAAAGTGTAGGATTGAAACAAAGAGCCAATATGGAAAAAGATTTGGATCATCTCTTTAAAAATAAAAGGACCTGTGGCATTACTTCTATTAAAAACATTTGAAAGTATTCTGATCGCTATCTGGAACTTACTTTATATACTGTGTTTATAGAAAATTCACTAAAATGTATCTCCAATCTCTACGCATGATATTCTTAACTTTGTAGGCTTACTTGAATGCGTGTCTACCCAGGACTGACATGCAGACTATCTTTCTTTCTAGCCCCGTCATTTGCTTTGCGAGGATGAGCGTCTGGTGCCCGCTGCACACACCCTTAGCGCTGTTCCGTCGTCTCGGTGGGGTGCGCCCCCCCTCGTCTGCGTGGAGTATCCTCCTCGATCCCGAGTCAGTGGTTTTTTTTTTGTTCTGAAGTCGATTTTGATATTAATATGCTGCTACAGATTTCCTTTCCATAGTGTCTGCATGGAAGATCTTTTTCCCTCTTTTACATAAAGCATTATATTGTATTTAAACTGAATGTAGATAGGATTTAATTGCACAGTGTTTTTAATCCATTCTGATAAGCTGTCTCTTAGTTGGTATATCATAGCTATTTATATTTATTTGATGTAAATATTGGCATGTTAAGATTTATGACTGACATTGTTTTTGTTTGGTTGTTCACTGTTTTTTGTCCCCTTTTCCCACTTTTCACTGCACGTTGGCCTCTCATTACTTCACTTACTACGTAGAAGTGTCAGTAAAATTTTACAATATTGGAAGTTAAAAAATTGATGCACTCATCATATTTGGCTTGGTAAACAAAGTTTAGGGAATTATATTAGACAGCATTTTCCTAAAATATTTGGTATTTACAAAGTAAGGAAATACTCACAGGAGTTTCTCCTGGGTGGCACATCTTCACCTGAAAAATGTCCCCCAGTAGTAAGTCTATAGGTTTATCTTTGTAGAACATTAAGAAAAAACGCACAAAATCATTCAAGTCCTCAGATTTAAATAGCTTTCCTATAGAGAAAAAGTAAACAAGTCCAAGTAGCTCAAGTATTTATACTACATAGCATAACATAACTCTTATATATACTTGTTCATTCTATTTGCATGAAAGGCAAAAATGTATTAAAGATTATTTTAAAAATACAATTAAAAATTAAAAAGGTGAAGGGATTAGTCAAATAACATATATGAAGTACCCATGGACGTGGACAATGGTGTGGGGACTGACTGTGGAGATGGGGGCGGGATGGAGGGAGGAGGGCAGAGGGGCAAGGACATTTTTGAGATAAATATAATAGCATAAAGAGTAAGTCATTAATAAAGGGGGAAATTAGCATTAATAAAGTTGGAGGATAATAAAGCAAAGTAATATATCTGCTTAATTATTCAGAACTACCACTTCTGGGGAGTGCGGTATGAGGCAGGTCTACAATAGCACTTATTTCGGGAAAGTGTTGGTAATTAACTGAAGAGTCAACTGTCAATGAGAGTGAAGGCTGTGTCAATAAAATCAAAGGTGTAGAGGCTATACTCTCATATAATTGTCCAGAAACTGTGATTTGTAATCTGATTTTTATAAATTTTATCAGGCTATCAAATATTTAATTTTTATTAATGATGGTATTATTTCAATATTTCCATATCTGAGCATTGTTTTGTAAGAATGTTATTTTTCTTTTATACTTAGGATTCTTAAAATTTTGCTATATTTTAAAGTATGATTTCATTACATCCGATTACTTTTTTCTAATACATTGCACCTTTAATTTTAAAATGGCATTGAAGTTACAAGATTCAGGGAAAGGCTCACTTTAGTGGAACAGTGTAAAACACAGCTGACTATTCGACAAGCATGGTATCAGGGTGGAAGCAGGCTGCGCAGCTAAATGCTATATAGTAATCAGAGCAAGTGATTTAATGATGGAAATATCTGCTTTATTATTTATGTTTTCCTAATCTTCTGTGAGCATGATGTATTGTAAAGTCCTATTTGGCAAGCCCATATTTTTGGTAAATATTGAGTAAAGGACTGTTATTATGATAAAAAAATAAGGCCTCTGTAAAGTTAAGCTTATGATGAGTTCAGCATCATGTACGTAGTGCCCTTGTGGTGATCAGAAAGTGAATGTTCTCTATCCTTCACATACCCGACTTTGCTGAGGAAGATATAAAGAATTTAAAAATTGCTAAGTAATATATCAACAAAACGATTTCCTCTGCAAGTGTCTCATCAGGTATTACTGTTACCTATCACTTTTCTTCCCATTTTAACTGAAGCTGAGCAAAAACCTTCAGGGCCTTAAAACTGGATGCCATACCACTTTACAGAAAGTTTGGGAAAGAAAGTGGTCAAGTAAGTGTACGAAAAGCAGATGGATTTTACTAACAACCAGAGAAATGCTTACACTCCTGCCAGTGGCAAAGAGTTTCTTTTATGGCTGAAATGAAACCTTACCAAGCACCTAGGGAAGCAGGCACTTGCCAGCACGTATGGGCGTCTCAGCTGTACGGCCTATCGGCAAGGCGATCTGGCAGCACTTAGAGACCCAGCTGCTTCTGCCCTGGGTGACCCTGCTCCAGGGAACGTACAGGTCACCGCGTCGTTGCTCTGTGGTGGCAGAGAGTTGCCAACCACAGGGCCCACGCATCTGGGAATGGATGAGCCTGAGGGACTGTCAGGTGGCACCTGTGCAGCAGTGAGAAGGAATGAACTAAATGCACATCAAGAAACATGCTGAGAGTTTCAACGTCTTGTTTGGAGGACAAAAATGTAAAGAACAGGAATGGGTGTATCACATCACCACTTATGTAAATTTTAAACGCATATGTCAATCTGCTTACTTATGTTGTCTATCCAGAAAATTTTTCGGTTTAAAAATACATTTTCTGAAATTCAGATCCTTGAATATGATTTTAATATTAAACTAACTGCATATTTGTAGCAATCATTCCATTCCTTTTCATTTAGTAACAAACGCATGTAAGTTCTTAAGAACTTTTAAGGTTACCATGTGCTGAGAAGGTGGAACCCACAAAATAGATCCATTGCTTACCTATAAATCCAAGAACTGAAAACTCAATATAAAACCAGTTATTTGAAGCGATAGAATGCACAAAATCTGTGATTTTTGTAAAGTACATCTTTTTGGCTATGATATCATCTTCTAGCTGGACAAAAAATAAACAACAAAAAGAAGGCATTAGCACCTTTGATGCATCCATTGAAAAAGTTATACTAGCTTGAAAGTTGAAAATACTTTCAATAGATTACACTGAATGATGTTTTTATGAAGTAATTAATAATAGCATTTTTTAGTTCAGTTCCCTGAGGGTATTTACTGTCTGTCAATTTTCATTTTCTGATTCTAAGAAAAGAGATTCTTTCTTTCTTTCCTAAATGCTAACATGCAACATTCACTCTGAATCCTCTTTGGCGGACTCCGTGTACCTGAGTGCATTTTCATCCTCACAGATACTTCAGTTTCCAGTTCAAGACCAACTGGCTTCGTGTGGAGACAGCAAGTGCTGTGTCCACCACCAGATGTTGTGGTTGGCAAAGAGGAGATGCAAGGAGCTGGTGTTCTCCCCCATGGCCAGCTGGTTAGAGGGGGTGCTAATAAGCCCCCAGACAGTTTTCCATAAGGGGAATAGGACTAGATGTTTCCTCTCTGGTTGAATGCACACTATGGGTAACCAGCCCATAGACTCAGAGGGTCTCCTAAATGATTTAGTAGAGGAATGTGGAAGTCCTCAGGCACTTTACCAGAGCACAAAATAGAACTGTGTTATTTATAAGAATTCACTGGCTGGATCTCACATTTCCATTTCACTGTCACTAACTAGGAATCAAGAAGGATTATTTCTTTTCCTTTTTTATTGTTGTTCAAGTACAGCTGTCTCCATTTTCCTCCCACCACTTCCTCCGACCCCAGCCATCCCCACCTCCCACCCTTGATCCTACCCCCCCTTTGGCTTTGTCCCTGTGTCCTTTTTACATGTCTGATTTTCTTCCAATAAAAGAGAAGACGTTGCTTCAGGCCTTTTCCTAACTCTGTCTGTTCTCCAATGATGTTCCTCAAACTCTCATCACAGCTGCACAGTCTCATGAAGTGAGTGTACACTTGCTGTTGGGAAACATTACTTAACAGTGTGCAGGAACTTAGAGGGTGCAAACTATACATAACCGATTTATTTCATGAATACAGTATAGTCACTGTAGAACTATGTTGCTCCTAAAATGTGAGGCAATGTAGGGTAGCAGTGATAAGCACATACATTATCTGACATTTAATAAGTTCTCAAATTGCATGTATTTCACCCAGTAAACTTGTGAGCAAAGACATGTAGACAGTACAATTTCTATTTTTTTCTGAGTTGGTAAATTCTTTTCAGTTTGCTTCCGGTAACTTTAATTTCTTCCATAATAGTGACTTCAGCAAGAGGACTAATATATGATCAATTTTATGCTTGCTTTTGGTATTTTAATATAGTGAGTGCTTTCTATTTTCTGAGTACAAAGTAAAGTGGAGGAATACAATAAGGAAGGAAGGACTCAAAGGAGGGAGAACACAATATTTCCACTTTAAATTCTATTTGTACAAGGTCATACCTGTAAATAATACATGGCCTTGGGTTGGGCATACAGCATCAAAAAACAAAAATCCAATACTTGTTTGATTCGCCAACTAAAGGTAAGTAATAAAATCTGTTAAGATTTACTATGATGATTTAATTTTTGCTTATAAGCACATTTCAGTAACTTAAAACAAACTATTTTCACACTTTGCTAACAAAGAGCACTATCTACATTAAATAAAATTGTAGACATTATACTGAAGTTACACTCACAAGTTTCCTGTCTTTATTCAGTGGACAATGTCTGCCATTGCTAAACTAGGATAAACACAATCTATTTATTTTAAATTGGGTTTGTTAAGTTTTGATCTATATAATAAAGTTAATATTCTTTCTTAGGTCTTGTTAAATGAAAGTATAAAGAAACTTCATTCTAGTGTAATAGTAGGCCAGGTCCTGAAGGTACAAACACCAACACACAGTGCAGCTCTTGCCCTTCTGGGTCACATAACCTAGCAAGGAAGGTAGAAAAATAATACAACCAGGGCAACAACATAGAGCTATGTCGAGATACTGCCCATGATGATTTACAATGAGATGGGGAGGGTGGAGCGGGAGGCAGTGGAGCCTTCAGTGTTGAGGACAGTCCTGCACAGGCACAGGACGTGTGACACAGCAGCCCCCTGAGATTCAGGGCACGGAGAGGTGACGGAAGGGAAACTGCCGACGGGATGGTTGGCAGAGATCAGATCAGCGAGGACATTTTATGACGTGTGGGAAACTTTGGACTTGATCTCACATGAAAAGATTGTTCTGCCTACAGTGTGGAAATGAATTGGAGGATAGGCTACAGTTCGGGGAAGCAAACAGATCTGGAATGGTCTGGACTAGGTCCAAGGCAGAGAAAAAGGGATCAGAGTGATGATACGGAGAAAGATTCAAAACGAGAAATGATGACAGGCATAAAGGGCAGATGGGAAAACAAGGGTTAAGAGTGACTCCCAGAATTCTGACTCTAAACACCGGGGATGGTGTGGGCCATTAATTAAAAAGCAAAATGAAACCCTTAAGAGATTTCCGGAGTCTGACTTACTACTTATTATTTGTAAGCAAAAAGAGCTAATAAATGTTGTGGGATAAGATCTTTTTCTGAATTCAGATATGTCATTTGCTCTATTAAGTTTTGAGGAACCAAATGATTATATTTCTTTTATATCTACCACATTTATAACCAACCAATAATAATCTTCCACATATATTTAGGATTATTGTATGTACAGAGATATATAGTACTATAAAGATATATCTTTTAAATTTTCAAAATATTTGCATAAATATTATTGTATTTTATTCTTTTTAAAAAGATTTCATTTAAAAAGATTTATCATTTTAAAAAGATTTATTTTTAGAGAGAGGGGAGGGGAAGGAGAAAGAGGGAGAGAAAGATCAATGTGTGGTTGACTCTTGTGCACCCCCTACTGGGGACCTGGCCTGCAACTCAGGCATGTGACAGGACTGGGAATTGAACTGGTGACTGTTTGGTTCAGAGGCTGGCACTCAACCCACTGAGCCACACCAGCCAGGTGTGGCTATCATATTTTATTCTTACAATGACTTTTCTGAATATGTAAGGTATATTTTCTTACATACACTGGAAAGTGGAGGAAGCAAAGAAAAAAAGGCTAAATTACCTGCCTTTTTACAGGTAATTTAGGCTAAATTACAATTTTCTACAAGTCATACCTCTCAAACGTTTGTGAGTCCTCAGGTGCGTGCTTGGCATGTAACATGTCTGGATAAAAAAACTGAGGTATTGAAATGACCTCTAAGGATCCAGACTTCAGTTGCTTTTTGAATCTATAAACAGAAGTAAATGGAGGCTTGTAATTGAATATTTGATGTACCAAAAATAACAAAAATCAGTGGAAAGAATTTTCTTATGCATGTCCACATAATATTTTTGATTTGAATTATTTCACATGATACATGATATCAATATCATAAAACTAATAGTTTTTCATCAAAATATGTCTTTTATGAATTAGAGACAGACATATCAAAAAAATAAAATACACAAATCCCACATTCTGGGGCATATTTATATTTCCAAAAATCTAGCAGGCTTCCTTCTGGGCCTTTCCTCCTTCTCAGGCAATTCTGTTTGCCAGGCATCTCCTTCTCCCTGCGTCTGCCTGAAGAGTATCTGCCTCCACCCTTTGACTTAGCTTAATTGTTACCTTTCCCAGAAAGTGCTCCTTGATAACAGCAGGTACAGTGAGTTCCTTCCTTCTCTACGTGTTCTCAAACTGCCTGTCCCAACCGCCACGCTAACACTAGGCTCCTTGTGATCTGGTTTTGCCAGTGTCACCACCCACTGGAACGGGAAGATCTGGAGGGCTGGGTTCATTCCACAGCGTCTGCCTGACAAACAGCTTCACATTGGTTCACCAGTGCTCGTGCCTGCTGCGCTGCACACAGCAGGAGGTTGTGAGCAGAAGCAGTGCGAGTAACTTTGTCCAGTAAGGAACCCAAGATGTTTTCAAGATAAGCTAGTAGGCTTCTCACAAGAGACAATGGATTTCATGGAGAATAGATATTATAACAATAATGACATAAAAAATATAAATTTTTTCAAAGTGAAAATTATTGCTAGTGTAAAGTTCTTAAGATTTTAGTTTTTCCCATGGAAAAATATGGACTTTAATAGGTAGATAACCTACAAAATTGGGGAAATTACAAGATGTACTTCATCAGGTCTTAGATAGAACTACAGGCTCTTTCTGTGCTGATGCACAATGAAATAAATGTGATCAACAATAAAATAATTGGGCAGACAGAATAGTATAGGAAAAATTCTAACAACCATTTAAAAATATATCCAAAATATATCCAACAGTACTTACTTTTTTGTAATCATGTCGACAACAGATGTTAAATAATCTCCATTACTCTAAACAAAGAGAAAAATATTTTACTGAAACTAAGCATGCCTCATACTTTTATTAATTCACGTTTGCTACATGTAAATCTAATCTCTGGGTGGAATGTGATCACGTCTTAATCATTTCTAGTGTTTCACTTTCCATGAAGAATTTTAACAACCCAGGGGTCTGAAAGATCCGCCGGAAAATACTTCGCTCTCCCTTTGTCACCGTGTGAAATATCTCTCCGTGTTATTTACACTTAAAACTCAGCGGTTACAAAAGCCATGCATCTAAAACAGTTTTGCCCTAAAAACTGGATGGCTTATTTCAAAGAACTGCTTTTTGGAAGGTATCTTCATTTTATGAGTATCATGTGACAGTAAACTCGCTTTGAAATCACTCCACATCTTTCCAGACAGGACTGCTCAACTTAACCTCCCGATTTTCTTCTATCAGCGAACTTGGTGTATTTACTCTTCATTGAAAGCTGTGCTTAGATTAGATGACACATTCAGCTGTAAATAGCTTTTAGTGGTTTATTCCTGTAGATGATTTTTTTTAGGTAACCACTGGTATTTACAAGATGCAGCCTCAAGGCCCACAAGCGTTCCCGATATAAAATTCTGGAAATGTTTCTTGTAGTGAAAGCTGTAGTGTCACCACTGCCTTTCAGTGAGTTCTGAAAGGCAATTCTGAGTGTATACAGTTAGGCTGTTCGTTAAAAATATCAGGCATGATGCAAATAACTCTATTATAGTACCTAAGGTTCTTAAGATGGCCATAAATTAAATCACCAGTTATTTGCTATGTGCTGAAACATAGTACACTTTAAAAAAGTACTAAAGTTATACTTCTTAAGCATTCCATATTCCATTTTATAATTTGTACCCCATACTTTATTTTTGGTCTAAATCAACAATTTTCAACCCGTGTGCCACAAGAGGTTTTAAAACATGCAATACCTGACTATTTAGTCAGGGGCACTGTGCACTGACCTCTTGTCTCTTCGATTGTCAAATAAAAAGTTACAACAGTCAACACAACAATAGCCATGTGGTGTGAATGAATCAAAATTATACCTATTTTTGTCAGATAGGCAAAAATATATATTTATATATTTTTGGTGTGCCACAGAACTTTGGGATTCGTTTATGTGAGCCGGGAGATGAAAAAGGTTGAAAGTCACTGGTCTGAACATTTTAGGCAGATGCGCATGTGTCAGCAGCAAACAAATAAAGACTGAACCATGTGCCACAGAAAAAAGTGACAAAGGTTTTGGAGACTAAGTATATATGCTTCTAATATTAAGAAATTAAACTTGGAGAGAAGAATTATCAATATTTAATCTTTTATTTATATTTTCCCATTAGTTCTTACGTTGCTTGTTTTGTTTAGAGTTTTTCTGCATTCAAAGGAATGTTTATGATAAAAATTCAAATAATAGAGAAAAGAATAAAGGAGAACACATATCCTTTTAACTCTCAACATCCAGAGATAACCATTATTGCATGTTATATTTTATATAATATTAACTTACATTTATATGTAGTTTTTATATACTAATATCTAAACGTAAACCATTATTTATATCATTCCAAGATTTGCTCACTGTTTTTTCTTCATGCATTTCATGTATCTGTATATCTTCCTTCATTCCTGCTTCCTATCACATTTTGCACAGCTAATATGTTTAAAACAATGTTTTATAACTTTTTTACTCAACAGTATGCTTTGGACATTGTGTTTTGTCAGTGGATATATTCATCCTTTCAATGGTTACAGATCATGGTAATGCAGACATGAATATTCAATCAGTCACTTACGGTAGATATTTTGGTTATTTCCAACATTACAATTTTATAGCACTGAAAATCCTTGAAATAATTACATATTGAATGCTTACTATGTACCACACATCATGCTAAATAGTTTAAATATGTTAGCTAATTTAATTGCCGAAACAACCCTATGACAAAGGTAATATTATCATCACCATTTTACAAATAGGAAAAGTGAAGGACACAGAGGGCACTTGTTCACGTCCAGCAGCCAGGGGTGAAGAGACTGGCCTTTGGACTTTGGCTGTTTAGATCCAGAGTTTGTATTCTAAACTTTCATACTGGTCTGCAATGCTTATTTTTAAATTCTTGCCTGATTATCTCCTTAGAATAACTTCCCAGAATTGTGATTTCTGAGACAAAGTATATACACATTTTAAATCTGATATATGTTGCCCACTTCCCTCCAAAAGGGTGTCTAATGTTAGACTTTATATAGTACTTTCTAGGTTTACATGGCACTAGAGGCAAGACAGAAATATCTGGGGATCCAATGGAGAGATGCAGGTTTGTATCTGCTCTATTAATCACTAGGCCAATTACTTCCTTAAGTTCATTTCTACATTTGTAAAACCAGGGCATTGCGACTTCTTTTACAGGGATGTCATGCAGGTGATACATAATTTGTATAAAAACTGTCTACAATCCTTCAGATATAGGAAGAAGTCCCTCAGTTAATGGTAGTTATTATTTAATACAAATTATCTCTTGATTCCCATACCAACCTTTTACTGGGCAGGTTTTATTTCTATAGCATAAATTTTAATGTTATGTTTGTAAATATAATTTCTGTGCCATATAATATGCAGGGCTCCCAGGTACATATTTAACAATGGCACCTTACTTCTCCACATGGGAACATGATATTTAAATAAACTCTTTAGATTGACATATTTAATTCCTTGGTGGTGTCAAAAAAGTATTAATACATTGTCTACTATCCAAAAAAGGGCACCCGTGAGTTACTTTTTTCTGCTCTCTTAATTTCTATTTAAGGATAGAATTTGAAATGAAACAGTGGTCAGTATGGAGACCACGGACTGAGAGTAAGGAGAGCCAGTGACCCTTCCCACTTACATCCGCAACAGAGACGATCACCACGGAGTCCTGCACCTCCTCATGGGTCATCCTGGAGATGAGTGAGGTCAGTGTTTGCTTCAGGTAACTGTGATCTTCCCTCTTAACAGTGGGAACACCCAGAGCAAAGGATACTGCAGCCCCCAAGCACGGGGTTGCCGTTTTAAACCATGGAGGAGAATACAAGTTAGTGTTAGTATCTATGCTTCCTTCTATGCTTGGGTAGTTATGTGGTCCTAAAAATAGTGCCTGAAAATGTTTTACAAAAGTTATCCAAACCACTGTTAGCTTTTATTACATATTTCATTTTCTGCCTAAAGAAATTCCAGTTTGCAGTGAATGAATGGTTAGGAAATGCATTAAATAGACACCCAGATGTTCTCATGGTGGAGAATTTCAATGTAGTTAAAAAGAAACTGAACATTCTGCATTTATTATGGTGTTCCTCTAACTGGGTATGAAATGCATTGGCTGATTCCCTCCTCTTATTCCTAAGGGGGTACTAGGACCCAAAATAGGAAAAATACTATGAAATAATTTCATGTGCAAAAAAAAATTCATGAAGTAATTTCCAAATGATTTGATGGAATAAATTCATGTCCCTAAGCAGCCACAGACAAGTAAGCAATGAACATAACTATGGTCCAACAAAATCGTATTGAAAACAGGCAGATTCAGCCTGAGGTCTGTAGTTTGCTGACCGCTGGCCCAGGAGGACCCACTCATTGGAATCAATGAGGTTTGTGAGATAGGAAAGTTTCTGAGAGTTGGCCTAATGTCCTTCTTCTAACTCAGATGTTTTCTCTCTTCTTCTGTACACAGTGAGCTTGAATTCATCCTTCAAGGTTGAGCTTAATCATCCCTTCTGCAAAGCTTTTGCAGACCTTCGTTCTCATAAACACGGGGAAATAAGAAGATAACCAGATGAGTATAGATTGATCAAAACCAAGGGAGAAAAGAGCTACCAAACACTGAGCAGATGCTTAACATATGCTTGGCTTATACTTACTTACTTTGAAAGCATCTGTATTAAAGTTGAATTTGAATTCAAGTCTCCAAATATCTACTAAGCTATCTTTTCCGCCTGACAATATACTGATTTCTGGTGGTCCAGGTTAGTGCCAGGTGATCTAAATAGGCTGGTGATCTAAATATCAAACTGAGTATCATTTTAATGGCTCACATTTTAAAACTTAAACGCATGTCCCCAAAGATCAAAACACCTGCATTTGATTTTCCAATTTTAACGTTCTCACCGCCTGTTTTCTCTTTGCTGATGATTACATCAGGATAAATTCTGCCTATTTTCCTTAGATGAGGGAAGAAGGACTTTAAGACTTCAAATGTATTAGGTACTGCTTCATTCTCATCGAATATATTCACTTCCTTCTCAACTGAAAGGGAGAAAAAAATAGGGCTTCTGAGTTCATGACTGTAATGATTTCCCCCCTCTGGCACAAGTTTTTAAAAGAGGGTTAATAAATTAATTCATAGGTTAACTTAATATTTATACATAAGGGGAATACTGTTAAATGTAAATCATCAAAATCATAAGACTATAAAATATAATTCAGAAGTGGATTCATATTTATTTAAAAAGTAATCTAGCAGGTCTTCCAATAACATCATGCCATTCAATGTCCTTCGTTACCATTGATTTAGATGCTGTAGGAACTTAACTGTTGTTTATATCAATTACCATATGGTAAAGTTGGTTTCCTTATGTATCACTTACCTTGAAGTTGCAGAACCTATCAACGATGTTAAGTGAGGACTTCCTGTATTTAGGTCTAGCACTATGAGCTACAAAACCAGAGGATAATAGAACTATCAGTTCCAAATAATATGTAACTGAAACATACTATAAAGAAGCATAACTGAAAATATTTCTGAATCACACATCCATCTGTTTTGCTACTTTAATATCAGGTCATTGAAGTTTGTATCCTTATGATTTTGTAGCTCCTTCAATATTTAGTGACTCCGTTTGTACCATTCATTTGAATTTGCCTCTACAATTTTGAAGGAAGAAAAAGGACAAAGTTGGAGGACTCGTGCTATACAACTTTATTTCATAACACATGATATGTTAGTAAAGGTGGTGTGGTGTCACAGAAGAAAACAGATACACAGGTCAACGGAACAGCATAGAGAATCCACAAACAGACCCACACAAGTATGGTAGATCGATTTTTTTAAGGTGGAAAGGCAATTCAATGCAGAAAGGACAGATTTTTGACAATTGGTGCTAGGACACTTGGACATCCACAGGAAAAAGGATGAACCTTAACCTAGACATCATACTATTGATAAAAGTCAATTCGAAGGTTTCATAGACCAAAAATGTAAGCTATAAAAATAAAAACACATAAAAGAAAATCCTCATGACTCTTGAGAGTTCTTAGATACCACATTAAATGTACAATATATACAAAAAGTGATAAACTGGACTTCATCAAAATTAAAATGGTTTGCTTTTTGAAAGGCGACACCAATAAGACAAGCCACAGACTGGGAAAAATATTTCCAAATCACATATCTATCTGACATATATCCCTGATATATAAAAACCTCTCATCACCAAGCCCTTATTATATGAAATGTTAAAGGGACTTATCTAAGAAAAAGAAGTTAAAGAAACATGAACAGTGAAAGGACAACAAACTCACAGTTATTAACAACCACACCTAAAACGAAAGCAAACTAAAAGGACAGCTAGATCAGGAGTGGAAACATAGAAATGAAGATCTCAAGGAGGGTTAGCAACAGGGGAGTGGGAGGAGGAGAAGGGGGGAGAAAGTACAGAAAATAAGTAGCATAGACAGTAGATAGAAAATAGATGGGGGGGCAAGAATAGCATGGGGAATATAGAATCTAAAGGACTTGAGACACATGGTCACAAACTAAAGGGGGGGTAATGGTGGGGATGGGGGGGTAGGGTGGAGGAGAATGAAAGGGGGAATAAAACAACTGTAACAGCATAACCAATAAAAAATAAAAAAATAAAAAAAAACCCTCTCAGAACTCAACAACGTAAAAACAAACCACCCCATTAAAACTCGGACAAAAGATCTGATGAGACATTCCACAAACAGGATACATGAATGGAACATAAGCATGTAAAAATGTTCAGCATCATTACACTAGAGAAATGCAACCTAAAACAATGCGACACTGGGATATCAGAATGGCCATCGTGAATGGGAGGGACTGGGACTCTCCCACAATCTCTGCAGGCGGTGCAAAATGGTGCAAAATGGTCCAGACGATCCAGAAAACAGTGTGGCAGTTTTTTTATAAAGTTAAACATAAATGTATCCAATGCCCATGAATTCTAGATATTTATCCTAAAGAAATAAAAATTCAAACAAAAAATCCTGTACATGAGTGCTCATAGCAACAGGCATTTGTAGTCACGCCCCACCCCCCCAAAAAAACCCCAGAAAATGAAAGCAACTCAAATGTCTCTCAATTGATCAAGGAAAAAAAACTACCCATTGTACATCCATACAGTGGAATGCCAATCAGCAATAAAAAACCAATAAACAACTAGTCACACCACTCAGAAGAACCTGCACTGGGTGAAAGAAGCTGGTCTCAAAGGGTTACACAATGTGTGATTCCACTGGGGAGGCACTCAGGAAAATGGAGAACTGTGGGAAGAGCGGATCCATCAGTGGTTTCCAAGGGCCGAGTGGGGGGAGTGTCTGACTACAAGGAGGGAGCACGCAGCAGGATTTTTCATTCTGAAGAAAAGGGGAACCACTGAAGGCTGATTTACCAGACAGTATAGTCCTCACTTTGGCTACAGTGAGGATAGGTAGGTGGGAAGGAGCCTGCAGAGAGAGAAAATAGGAGTATGGCAGCAATCATTCGGATGAAGCATGAGGGTGGCCTGACTACGGTAGTAGAGATGGTGAGGGAAAATATGGACAGATTGTGAGATATATAGGACTACAAATCAACGGGACTGCTTACTGACTTGATGCGGAAGTATGCAGGAGGGAGAGGGAGGAGTCAGAGATGATGCTGTGGTTTCTGGCTGCGTCTATTGGATGGATTATGCATGGTGGTGCAATTCACAGAGATCGAAAACACAGAAAGACCATCTTCCTGGTGGAGATGAGAGGCAACGTACCAGGGATGTCTCTTACCTGATTTTCCCATGTCTGGCAATAAAAGAATGAGTACTGATTTGATTATATTTACTGGGGAGAGATGTTCTAAAATCAGCATAAAATTTAAATTTCCAAACACAAAACATAAAAGAAACAAACCACCATGCACAAAAACAGAAGCAACACAAACCTAAGTTCACTGATACATTTTCTCTCTGTCTAATGTCATCCTTCACTTTATTTAAGACTTCCATCAGCTCCTGGCGATTTCTTTCAGTTTTGTTTTTTAAATGTAGAATATTTTCCTTAAACTCCAAAATATGGTTTCTACAATTAGTTAATTGATTACCTGCAACGAAAATGTATGTTTATATATGTAGCAATGGTATCATAGAAGTTTCATAATATATAACAAAATGTAAAATAAATACTTCAATATAGCTATATATCTAGCACTAGATGTGTGTATGCATTTCTATGTAGTGCTATATACAACAAGAACTATCTTCTGGACCACGGGCCCTTTGTGGCACAGGCTTCCCCTGCTTGGTGAGTGTTCTAGGAACCCAACTGTGTCTGTACCAGCTGGCATTGTTGTGAGAGGCTGTGTTCGGCTTCAGTGAATATTTTTTCTTGAAGACTTTTAACATGCTTGCCCATTTTGTGATGGGTGATTTATGAGTGCACCTGCCCACACCATGCAGAGTATTCAGCAGTTTTTGAGGTAAAACAGCATGACCTGCATGGCCCGCTGTCCCCATTCACCTGACTCTCCCTGAGTGACTGTTTTTTTTGTGTCCCTAGATGACAGAAGTCCTCAAAGAGTTTTGCCGATTTGGAAGAAGTGAAATAAAAAACAGCAGGAGTGCTAAAAGGCATCAAAATCAACAAGTTCAAAAACTGTTTTGAGCAGTGGAAAAAAATGTCTCAATAGGTGTACTGCATCAAGTGGACAGTACTTTGAAGGTGACTGAAGTTTAAACGTGTAAGAATACTCAATTTTTTATAAATAAATTGTTTTTTTGCCTCCCTCTTGTATGTTTGTGCATAAAAGATTTGAAAATAATGAAGTGTTAAAAACAGTAATATCTGGAAGTTGCATGTATCAGATTTGTAATTAGAGGGAAAAAAACAGCAGAACCAGAAAATTCACTTCTAAGAATTTATCTAAAGAAAATGACCAGAAAATACGCACAGACTTGGCTCTAAGGACGTCCCACGTAGGCTGCACTATTTATCATCGTAAGAAGATCGGAAACAACTTAACTACCTAACAGTGGAAATATGCTAAATAAATGAGAGACTACCCTTCTAATAGTTCTGGTAGCTCTAGCACTAAGTCACATATAACTGAACCTCAGTTTTGTCACTTAACATCTGTGTGGCTCAGGCAAGCTGTTTAATTATTGTCTCTGATCCTTCACGTGTAAATGGATATGTAAGAATCCCTGCCTCAGAGTTGGTGGGAAGATGTAATTTGCTAATGCATGCAAACCATGTGGCAAAGCACAGTAAAAATGCTTTGCCAAATGTCTAATAGATATTTTGTGCTGATGGACTATTCTTTATTCATTTATCAATGGACTACTATGCAGCTATAAAAATATTTGATGTTGTAAAAGCAATTTTGATGCTTATGAGGCTTCCTGTACAAGGCACATACTTGGCATATGACTTTAATTTCAAGGAATAGATTAGGGCTGGTAGTACAGGTTTGAGAGCAAAAGTGTTGAGACACACTTATATAATGGAGCAAAACAGTGTGGTGATAGAATACTGTCCCAGCCTTACTTGGGGACATTTACTTCATCCCTGCCTTGGCTCACACTAGCCTTAGCCCAGGGCAGAGGGTTCACTCTTTGAAATCCAGCCTGTTGCCATTATTGAATGAATGGACTTTCCAGCGCAGGAACTGATCGGAGGTATTCGAACAGAACCATGCTTCGCCAAAAAGAACTGTAACCACCCCAGGCAGACGGTGAATATCCACAGAGTGGACACTGCTTGGGAACGCTCACACATTTAAACAGGGATGCAGCTGAACCAGTATAGCCTTATGTTTCTGGGGTTCCCTGGGTAATATTCTCTTCACAAAATGGATCACGTGTTTGGGGGGTGATATATCACAGGTGATGCAACAGAATGTAAGTCGGTCCCTAGGGGATCAGTTTGGCAAATATGAAAAGAAAGCCTTTTCCCTAGAGGGAGTATTTGCAGAAGTACATTTCTTACCTGGTAAGTCAATTCATCAATATTCTTTTAAAAATATTTATATTACTTGCATATTCATTCAGGTATTTTGTGAGAATAGAATGTTATAAAACTGTCTTGCAAAGTTTGAAATAATCATTCGCTATTTTGAGTCACCTGTGGTGAAGTTGTGAAAACAAACACCAGTCCACCGTGACTCCCCCCATGAACAAGGTGGGGTACCCAGCACTCTGACCTCTGCTTTCCCCGCAGGGGCCAGGAGAAAACTACCCACATCTGCGAGTTTAACTTTCCTATTAGCCACATGACAAACGGTAAGAGAAACAAGTGAAAGCAATTATAAATAATAGATTTAATGCAATATATCTGAAATATATTTTCGATATGCAATCAACATAGAGTAATTAATGACTTCGCATTTTTTGTACTATTTTAAATCCGATGTGTATTTTAGTTATAGTGCAAATATTGACATAATGACTTTAAATGTTAACAGTTGGAGTAAAATGCGGTCCTACCAAAACAATAACATTCAGACTAACTTAAAATAACGTCAGCTGAGAGCTCAGTTCCTCGGCGGCACACGCTGTGCCGCCAGTGTTCGCCAGCTCGGCAGCTCTGCAAGCGCCCGCAGAGGAGCCGCGAGCTGCCCAGCACGGGTCCACTCCGCCCGCCCTGAGCTCATTAGAAACGCAGCATCTGGGGCCTGCGCCCAGACCTACCGACTCAGAATAATTCGCGCTTTAGAGAGATTCACAGGAGACTGGTGTGCACGTTAAAATTCGAGAAGCAATGTTCTCGAATCTTTCTCATCGCTGACTTTACCACCCAGTTCAGGTCCTTACTGCCTCTCGTTGTACTATTATTATAGCTGCATGTTAATTGGTCTCTCGCCTCTAATCCACAACTGCTCCTCTGGAAACACTGCGCAAAGACTGTGAGGTCCCCTAAGTGCTAGCTGAATGAAGTCCAGATGACTGTCTTAGGACACGATGTCTGGTTCAGTGTGGTCATGACCTAACTTCTCCACCTTCTTTCATTCACTAGACACCGCCAGTGAAGAGAAGCCCGCTGAGACAGCCAGTCCTCCTTCCACGTGGTCCTTACCACGTGCCACTCCCTTTGCTATGTAAACAAAACGTGGAAAAAGCCGGGTTCCTACTCTAAGTTAACCAACAGTCAGGCGTGCCAGGGACGGGGGCATAGACTTGAAAAACTAGGAATAATGACATTGTCAAAATGGAATTATCCTCAAAGCGCACAGGCAGAGGGAGGCCGGAATGAAGAAGAGCCCGATATCTGGGTTAATTTATTAGCAGAACCCATAAGTTTTAAATTCAAAATTCAACTGTACGAATGCTAAAATGTTCACTATGGACTAGAAGTGGAGCCAAGGTTAAATTTGAATGGCGGATAAACAATTTTCTAATATCAATACATCCCATTCAATTGTTATACTAAAAACTTATTGTTCATCTGAAATTCAAATTTAACCGGGAAATCTCTATTCTTATTTGCTAAATCGGCAACCCGATGGACAATAAATGAAGACCCCGGTGTGTCTCAAAGTGGAACTGCGAGCCGCGGAGTCAGTCCACTGAGAAAGTCCGGACGCCAAACCAGCGCTCAAGCTGCGGATGACGACTCTCATCCTTTTCCGCTCCGCAGAAAACACCGCCGGAGCCCTGAAGGGCAGACCGCAGGAGAGGGGAGGTGGCCTTGTGAGAGGGGTGTCCCCAGAGTCGCGTGCTTCTGGGGACAATGGGGTGGAGGGCGGGGAGCAGCTGGGGACGGATGGGGTCCTTGAACCTCTGCAGGGAAAGGCGCTCGCGGAGGTCAGTTAGAGCCCAGCGGCCCCGCAGGCGCACGCGTGAGCGCGCCTGCCCACGGCCGGTCAAGGCCCCTGGAGAGACCCGCGCATCCGTTACGGGTCATCCGCCCGCGGGACAACACGGTGGCGGGCCACACCTGTAAGCCCCTAATACGAAAGCAGGAGATCCCCCCCCCGGTTCCTACCTCGTTCACCACCCCTCCCCCTTCTCTCCAGCGGGAAAGGTGGCGGGAGAAGCCCCGCGGCTTACTGGTTTGAGCCATCCTGGAGATGGAGAAACAGGAGAAGCTGAAGAGCAAGACCGCAACGAGAGAGATCAGCTGGTTCACGTGCTTGGCCCTCATGGAGGTGGCCGGTAGGGCACCGAGCAGCGCGCTGGGTGGAGGCTCCAAGAAGGCCGAGGGCCCGCACCACCGGGGAGACGCACGCAAGCGCCTGCGCACCCTCCCCAAGGGGGTCGCTGGGACCCGCGCACACGCGCCCTGCCCTTGGGGAGCGCCCTCGCCCTCGGGTGCAGGGCTCAGCACTGAGAATCCGAACGCCTTCCACTACGGCGGAGTTCCCCACACGCAGTCAGGTCTCTGTAACTTACTTTTCTTGTAGTAGTGAGTGATTTTTGTGCCAGACTCTGCGCTAAAGTTTCCATATGTTCTCTCTTTAGAACCTCACAACATCCCAATTTTTTTTTTTTTAGTATAAAATGAAGATAGCAATAGCATCTACCTAATATGGTATCATCATCTTCATCTGACCTTGGGAAAAAAATTGAGCCCTAGTGAAATCCAGCAATTTGCCTCAGGTTGCTCAGCTGGAAATGGTTCCTCACACCTTGAAGATAGATTTTTAAAAATTCCTCAAGAAAACATATATCTATACTCGGAGATTATCAGCCTCTAACGGTATCCATCACATAGTCCAAAGACTTAAAACAGCTCCGATTTTTGCGTGGGAAGGGACCAGCCCCGGGCCTCTAGTTTAATCCCCTTATTTTACCTTTTGTTAGTACCCTCTCCCCCAGGAAAAGAGCAGGGAGTCAACTTTTGTGAAAGAAGAAGTTATGTATACCATGAGCAGCAGCCCTAGGGGCATTTGCTGAACTTCCGCCAAGTTCAAGGTATCGGTTTCTCAGACCTTCAGCCAAGGCTGGGAAGCACTAGCTGAGCTTCAGAAGGGCAAGACTCTCCGGTCTCCTTAAATGTGGCTTTCTATTTGGGCTCTGCACTCTGACCACTCAGTCTCATTGGGACTCACTGGCAGTGCCTGGTGATGCAGGCTCTACTTCAAACTGGCACTGCACCTCTGGGCTGGTTTCTAG